GAAGATGGTGAAACACGTTTTGTGACATTACAACACATTCACAGGAAAATATATAAAATCCTCTCAAAATGCTTTCGCGTTAGAGGTAAGATTTCATTACAATTTTTTTCACTGCAACGTATAAAACTCTGTGATTCATGTACACTTTTGCGTAGAAAACATCTGGTATTTTTTGTATTAAATTCTAAGTAGAAGTTTGCAAAACTTTATCTTTTTTAAAAACATAACAAAGTTTTTAGACCTGCTATTTGCTTTTCTTGTCAAATATAATGTATCAAATTTTATTTTTTATCACGTGTTATTGTGTGAATATCACATGGGATTGTGTATTCTTTTTATTTTATGTATTTTTTCTGGTTCGTTAAATATCTTTCATAGTGTAAAGAGCGAAAGCGTAGGGGCCGAAACTTTTTTGTCACCAATTTTAAATATATCTCTAGTCTACAGCAATGCCATATTGCTTATGATTTTTCAAACAATAATAAAAATCAATATGCTGTAATTTATTTCTGAATCCACCCATGAAGCAAAATATATTATGCCATGCATTATTTTTTGTTTACTTTTAGAATCCACCAAATTGGGATTTAAACAATTTGAGTTTGAATGATCATAGTTCATTTTTGTTCATTGCAAGAACATGGGATTTGGATGATAGGTATGAATACCTACAACCAGTCAACAACTACAATAGTGGCAATCACCAAGCATTTGGTTTTGAGCGAAGAAATCATCCCCCCACTTTGTTATCTTGCGATGACCCCGGATGTATGTTCTGCTTTTATCGGAAATAGTGGGGTTTGTTAATCAAAGTAAATTTATTCTTAAAACTTTGACGTATGATTAGTAATAATAGCTTTCTAATTTACTTTGTAAAACCTAACTGAATGTAAATGATGATAGTTTCAGGCCCCGTTTACACTATGTCGAGAATTTACCTCCGCTTTTAGATCGTAGTCCTCGACAACTCACAGACATACGTTTATTCAACTAAATATATTGTACTCATACAACCCCAAGTTGCCGTTTTGAATACAGTCACCGTGCACGAACGTTTGCTCTTATTCTAATCACAGTACAGATACTAAAGAATAATCGTAATGGTACATCACCATTTCACTATCATAAAAACAACCCACTTCTAAGTTTCTCCCAATAAATGTCAATCATATTTACTACGGTATGTCCGTCAGTCCAGACACACTCCCCTATATATTAATTTTAAAATATATAACAGAAGGGACTGACTTCGTTAAAGTTCAAAAGGGGATTATTATGCATGCAAATGTTTAAATATAAATTTATAAATGTCACCACTCTTCAGTTTCCACATGTTGTTGCATTCTCGCTTCTGCAGCAACTGCTGCATCACGTCGTGGTTTCGGTTGGAATTCAGGAGCTGCAGGATTCAATTCGCCTTTGGGATATAAGTCACACGATAACTCTAGAGGGTAGAGTTGCTGTACAGCCCGCTCGAGTCTTCCCTTCGCTGTTCTCAACCTTACTCCCCGTACAACTCCGTCCTGTCCACGGATCAGGTCTTCCACAATACCTACCTTCCACATATTCCGGTTCCTTTCTTCACTTTCAATTGTTACCACATACCCATGGTTCAGATAATCTGATTGCGTTCCACCATTCCTTTGTTTGTGGCGCTCTCTCAATCCTCTGATATACTCTCGCGTCCATCGTCGCCACATCTGATCTTTGTTTTTCCTCAGCTGTTTAGCTCTTTTCCGTAGATCGGTCGATTATTGATGATGAGGTTTGACTTCAGGAAGATCATTTGGGTTTATGTGCAGCAGCTTGTTGGGAGTGAGCACTGGTTGCTCAATTTCGTCTTCTACGTAGCTTAATGGGCGATTGTTAAGTGCTACCTCAACGTCCAAGATGATTTCAGAAAACTCCTCCCATGTCAATCTACCATTTCTAACGCTTTTATAGAAGCTACGCTTAAAAATACCAATCAGTCGCTCAAATTGTCCACCCCACCAAGGAGCTCGACTTAAGTTAAACCTCCATTCTATCTCTCGTTTCGTAAGAAACAAGTTGAGCTTTTCATCTTTCTGGGCCAATCTAAGCCACTTTTCTGCAGCCTTAAATGTTGTAGCGTTGTCCGAATATATTATTTCCGGTCTTCCTCTTCTTGCAATTAATCTCTTCAGGCTCGGGACGAACTTTGCAACTTCCAGTGATCTCAACAACTCCATGTGCACTGCTTGGGTTAGACTGCACGCGTAAAGAACTAGGTATGCCTTTCTTTCCGTTTTTCCTTTCGTCATGTATCGAATAGGGCCAGCGAAGTCGACTCCTAGCACTTGAAATGGAGTTGACCCTTGGGTTCTTGTAGTTGGCAATCTTCCTTCTGGTGGGTTTTGGAATAACTGTGCTCGAAACTTTACGCAACCATAGCATTTGGACCTCACTTGCTTCACTAGTCGACGCAGTTTCGGGATCCAATATCGCTCTCGCACTTCGGCCATGGTTGCTGAGACTCCCCCATGGAGCGTTGTTAAATGTGCTTGTTCCACAATTCTCCTCATAAATGTGGATTTTGTCGGTAGGAATATGGGATATTCCCCCTCTATTCCACCGCGACACTCTAGTATTCCATTGCTCCTTGGTTGAAGGTTTAATTCCAGCTTTAGGGTTTGATAACAAGACTGCTCTCTAAACCAATTTTCCACAGTGTGCAGTTTTCAATTTCGTGGTACTTTATAGGACCTGTCTCTCGTTCATCGCGTGTTCGCCTGCAATTGTTGATGAATCTTCTTATCCAAGCGCAGATACGAAGGGTTTTGTATAATGGATACGATTCGACTAACTTGTCGAACTCGTTTTCCTCCTGGTCTTCCCCTCCAACCATGACGTGTGCCGAAGATTTTTCTTCCTTTCTTACCTCCTCAGTGACTACAGGAAGTATCTCTTGCGGCCAATTCCCTTTATTGCTTAACCACTTTGGTCCATGTCTCTAAAGCTCGTTGTCGACAACATGCCCACCGCGGCTCCCAATGTTGGCTGGGTTTTCAGTTGTTGGAACATGACGCCAGACGATGTGATGGTGCTGTTGGATCTTTCTCACTCGATTTGCTACAAACTGGCGATATTCACCCTGACCGTTTATCCAGCATAACGCTACCGTGGAGTGGAGCCAACAATGAATTGATGTCACTCTTTCTTTACCGATTGCACGCTCTACATTGATCACCAGGATATATGTCCCGCAACAAGTTCTAACCGTGGAATGGTAAGATTTCGTTTCGAGATCCGCGATTTAGAACAAACCTTTCTCACTCGATTTTCTACAAACTGGCGATATTCACCCTGTCCGTTTATCCAGCATAACGCTACCGTGGAGTGGAGCCAACAATGAATTGATGTCACTCTTTCTTTACCAATTGCAGTGAGGTTATCTTTTTGATCCGTTACAGCATAGACTACCGCAGATACACCATCCTTGCTAGCATCTCCAAATCCGTGTAGATGAATAGACCATACAGGCACATGAAAGGGTGCTAGTGGACGATTGACTGTATATGCATTAGGCAGTCTGTTGTACCAATCCCGCCATAACTTTCCCATGACGTCATCAAACTCCTGATCCCAAGATAAACGACTTTCGCACATTTTCCTATACAGGAGTTTCCCAGTAAGCATTGTCGGAGATATAAGACCAATTGGATCGTAAATCTTTGCTAGTTGCGACAATGCTCCTCTCTTTGTCGTCGCTGCGCTTCCTTCCTTTTCTACGACGACACTGAACGTATCTTTGGTCGTAGACGAGAAGAGGGTTCTTCCCCGTGGCACAATTGAAACATAGCCCTTTCTTAGCTAAAATTCGTTTGCGTTCACTCGGCTTGACTATTTTGTTTCACTTTGTAGCTTTATGATCCAGATCACCGCAATAAACGCAACCGGATAATTTCTCTTCGTTTTGTCTGGCATGAAATACTTTGTGCGTTCTATTCCCTTCGTAACGCTAGTCGTTATTGACTACTGGATTTCGTTTTACCTTCAGAAAGGTGACCAAAACGCCAAGACTCCCAATCTGGGTCGTTACGGACTAAATCTCCCCTTATCCCTGATAATTTTTCTTAGGTCATGGACACGTTTCCGTTTATCTCATCAAGCTTCTTTAAGGTTTCTAAAGCTTGCACGCAATATGTAAGTTTTTCGCTAAAATCTGCAATTTTACGCGGATTGTTGCCTGAAATGTGCGGCAGTTCGAGGATTTCCTTGACATAGCATTTTACAATTTCAGACTCTTTGCCGTATTTATCCTGAAGGATGGATTTAGCTCGGTTGTAGCCTTCGGCTGAAAAAGGGAGTGACTCAACACATATTTTAACCTTTGGACTCAACAATTCTAACAAATACGTAAACTGCAGCAATGGAACCTTTGTCAATGGCCTCAGAAAACTGTCCCCAAAACCTGGGCCAATCCATAAAGGAACCCCCAAACTTCGATATAACTCACTTTGGTAATTTGGCATTCAGCTGGGAAAATTCTCGCATTTCCGACTTCGAAGGGGACATTTCATTTTCCATTCGCAATTTTTCTTCATGCAGTTTTAATTCTCTTCGAAACATCTCTGCTTCAGTTTCTACTCTAGATTGCCTTTCGTTTTCGGCAAGCCATTTATCAAGCAGAGAAATCTGGGCGTCAGCATCATCAAACCTTAATTCAAGTCATCGTTCCAGTCCGAAATTAAGTCAATATTAACTTTACTAGCGATTTTTTGTTCTTCAACTAATCGCTTACATTGGTTTGTAGAACTGTTCACTGACTGCAGCGCTTCAACATGACGTTTAATGGTTTCGCGCTTACCTGAGGCCAAGACCTTTTCCGTTCGTTTCAACGTTAGACTTAACTGTATGAGTTTTGCCTCAAGCTCCTTTTCTATTCTCGTCAAGTACGTGTTCTCCAACGTTGATTCCCCTGTCTCCGTAAAGAATTTAAAATATCTCTGATGATACTGATTTGCTTGAAAATACCAGAGCAGACCACAAAACCGTCAATCCGAAACTCTGCTCGAGCTTGTCCTCCATTTTTTACATAACAATATGCAAGACAAAGGCAGAAAACATCGTTGCTTACTCCAGTTGAGCTTTTTTTTTCAAAAGAACAGCGACATTACCAAACGGAGAGGGTTGACTCTCGCGATTGTGTAGGTTGTCGAACATTTTCATCTCTACAATCTCTATTCTCGACGAGACGCAAATGGCAAGACTAGATCTGAGAGAGGTACAAGACTTTAGACTTTGATAATTAGTTCATAATGCAAAACTCAGAGCGATTTATTTTGAATTAGCAAGACGTCCATGCAAAATTTAAATAACTCTGAACTGTAAAGAACTGTTGACCAGAGTAAAAATGTTTATACATCGAACTTATTTTATCTTTGTCAATAGCTTATAATTGATGATCATAGCTCGTGTTTTCAATAGTTCGTTGTTTGAAAGGTTTCTTTTTTCACAAATAAAAGTTTAGAGTAAATTGATTATAACATCATTATATAACTACCGCTTATTCGCGAAAAACACATGCTGCGAATCTAACTTTAATTGATTTTGTTGCTAAGAAATGATAACATTGTATGAAATAAGCTTTTAGCCTTTCGTTGACATAGGAACTCCCAATAAAATATTAATGACAAGTCACGCAAATAGCTCTTTAGGAAAATATTTCAGTGTATAAGACTAAGGCATTAGCTATGGTGCAAAAAAGAATAACTGACTATGACTGACTGACTGACTGACTGACTGAATTTTCGCTACTCACCACAATACAACAAAGTTCCATGGAAACTTTGCATTAAAAATGATAAAATTGTTTTAGTACAGTTTTTTGTTCCAAGATAGATATTGTTATTTTGGAGAAAACCGTTGCTTCTAAACACCATGGTTGCTGTGAAATGTCATAAATGTTTTAACAAGGCTGTGCAAGCGGTAACACAATGTAGAACTGAGCTGGGCGGATATCAACAGGAATTGGCAGGAAGTTGTACGTCAGAAAATTTTTGTTATTCATCAATGAACACACATCCTTAGAGTTTGCATGTATATGTACAGTAATTTTATAGCCATTTTCTTTGAATACCAACTTATGCTATTATTTCAAGAATGTTTTATAATTATACCAATTCTGTCTGATGCAGACTTCGTGCTGTAGTGTTATGTAATGACATGTATTTATATATGACATTTAAAGTGAAACCATTTTTTAGAATCGCTCAATCGTGAAAATTGAAAACATAACCTACTCTATCATCTGTGATTCCCAGACAAAGCTGCTCACAATAACACTCAGCAGCTGCAATGGATAACTTTTTTGATGCCTTTTTGAGGTTTAATATAACCAGGAACATTGAATAAGGGAGCACCGGAAATACAAAAATAATAATGAAACCTCCAGAGGCGGAAAAGGAACAACATTATTTTGCAGCATTGGTTGGACCGTTGGATTAAGAATTTCGCTAATTTAGCAGTTGCCGTTCAAAAATAATTCAAAATCGGTTTTTCAGTTACTTGTGGGAATTACACCGTTTTATACGTAAAGTAATTAACATCGTATATTTGTGCGAGAGTTTAAATTTTCAAAATAAAAATGAATATAGGATGTTAATATCGCGTGCAAAGTCGTAATTTTCATTTAAAGTACCCTCAAAATGCTAAGAGCAAATTCCTTTACTTAATTTCTTGTTCGTTTATGCTATTTAAATAAATCTTATATCATGAAACTTACTGCAAATGTAACGAGCGAGTCAGAATGTTTTTGAGGCGACATTAATTGGTCGTGAAAGTTGTGCCATGGCAATGGAACTTTGCTATGATATTTTCATAACTGGCAATTGTTCAACGCATGTTACAGTTTATGCAATAAATTACTATAGTATTTTGATACCATGTGTTTTCATATAACCTTAGACTTGTGTGTGTTTAAATGTACAATCAGTGTGTTAAATAGCTATGTCGGATGGGTATAGAAAATATTTGAGATCACGACATAGAATTACGGTCAAAATAACAATTTAATAATTTCCGTGTGTATTTAATAAAGTTCTTTCAAGTTTCAATACTTGTATGCTAATCTACATGTGCACGTTTCACCACTTTTTTAATAAGATAGCTAAAGAAAATTATCCAAGAATTTTACATGAATTCAATGTAATATTATACATTGCGTTGGTTGGTTGTAGCGTTGCCAAGAATGAAATATCCGGTATGAAACAAAATATTTGTTTGTAGGCAAATAGATATATAATCTTAGCTTTTTCTTCTTGTACATAACACTACAAGAAAATGTTTAATAGCTTCAAGTTGAGTATTATCTTTACACGCTATGTTTTAAACAACACAGTTTCATATAAAGTCAAAGCTGTGCATTCATTGAACTGCAATATTTATTTTTTTGACTATGCAAACATACATGGCTTGCGCAATATAAATGGACTTGAAGTCTTGAATCATTCATTCATGTACAGTAATTGAGTTAAATGTAGCTAAACTTTATTGCCTATCTGTGGCTGTTATTACTATAGTTATTGACTAACTTCTAATTATTTATCTCATTCTCTAAATCTTTATCACTGCCATGAACTTTGCCACTTTTGGCAAAAGTAGTTCACAATCACATAATTCTTTGTATTTTATCTGTGAAATACCTGGTGTGATATTACAAACATGGGCATGGTTTACAGTGTTCAGAAATAATAAAAAGGCGTGGGGTGAAAACGAAATGTTGTCACGTTTTAAGGTGTGTAGTTGTACTACCTAAAAATTTGTTATGAGGCATGTCTTCAGCACAAAATTGTGTGACGTAAATTAAGTTTCCGTTTTTATACAGGAAGTTTACTTTTCTCTTTAAATAAATGACCAAATCGCAGTGGCAGTATTCTCATTTCACAGAGAGAAGTTGTAACATTGGACGAGCGAAGTAGAATTGGAAAATGCCTTTACTTCATCAAAAGATCCGCAGGGTAAGTTTAATATATTCTACATGACTTGATGGAAAAACTTTACTGTTGATTAAAATCTCCCGTTAAGCACAATTTAACAATGGAATTTTGTTTTGGATATTAATCTAAATGATTCAACACAAGTTATTGCAATGAATTTTTAGTTTTAATGAATTAAGAGTCTTTGGTCCCATCTACTTTGCTCTAGTCAAAGCTTGAACTGATATAAATAGGAGAGACGAGCAGAATACAGCAAGCAATAAATTATGTTAACGGTTTACATCCTCCTGTAGAGGTATCAAATTACTCATATATAATAAACAAGTTCAACAAAGCTATTTAACTTAGTTATGGTTTTCTATTACAAACTTCTTAAATGAGAATATTGCTGAAAATTAAGACTGATTTTATGCATGTGTTTCAGTTTATCTTATTATAACATTTGCCACGTGGAAATTCCTGTTTACAATTAGGCTCCATACGGACCGAATATTTATACCATAACAAAATTAATACTCTTATTTTTTTATGTATCAATGCTAACGTACTTCGCAATCGACTGTTTCGATATTAACTACTGTTTTCAAGTTTAGTTGTCGTTTCACTATTTACAAAATAGTTAGTCAATATTCTTTTATATGTTCAATATCATCATCATGTTTTGAAGATGAATGATTAATGTTTGTAATGGTAAATCACGTTGGTTCATTTCAGATATCAATATTGATAGTTAGATAACGAAGGAGATATTTTTTGACGACAAGCTTTTGTTCTTTCCAAGCTAAATTTAGTTAAAAAATCTACGTAAAGGTTTCCTTTCCGGCGCACGAAAATAGAAGAATGCATATTTAAAGTCAGGGAATGCGCAGCATGAAAAAGAATGCACCGGACGTTAGATTAAAGTATATTTAAATACTTAAATTTTGGGAAAGTACCATAATATTGGGAATATTTCCGTTTGATAAAATAAGGCAGTAGAATGCTTAACAAAACGACTGAAGCGCGAGTCTTTATTACACTACTAAATTAAGAAGCTATAGGGATACAAGATAGAAAGTATGTTACGTTTGCTTGTATTTAATACTTGCTTAACTGAAGTCAAAGTGGCAAATCAGTTACTCATTGTTCGAGGAACGTCAATGGCATACAAGAATAGATAATAACGTAATAATGATTAGGGGATAACTATACATTTCAGTAAATTGTCTTACAAATACAAATATATTGATAGGTTGACAGTTCAACATAACTATTGTCTTCAACACTTGAGTGAACAACATCAAGAAAGCGAGATTGAATACCACTTATTAATACTTGTTAATACTTGTTTGAATTCAATTCATATCAAATCCTGTTTCACAATGTCTAGCGTGTTTCAAAAGCTGAAAATAATGTACAATATGAAGGTAATTTCAGTGGTTACAAATTACAATTGCATTGGGTCACGATAAATCGAGAGGGCTCACGAATATTCTTTGTCTCACGTACTGTTAGAATAAATAAAATGATAATAATGATATTTTCATTACTTATATTGTATTCCCAAGCTTTCGGCGTCATTACAGACATGACTGTGGCCTGGCAAAGGCTGATCAAATCTTGTTTTCTTTATTCTAGCGGATATTTTGCAATGATCAATCTGCAAACTCTTGTGATCTTAGGAAAGGTCTTTATGTATTTATCAACTCGAGAACAGACTGTATTTTGTCAAACATTGGTTTGAAACTTGACAAAAATATTGTTCTTATTGATTTGCCTATTGATGTGCCCATGTTGCAAGATAGCAGTTCTTCCAAATGTAGTGGTGATAGCAGTCATGATCAAACAGACGGACCTGACAGCGAACCGCCTACGTCACTATATAATGGTGTGACTGTGAAAAAAGCTGAACCTCAATCCTTTGCGCAAGGTTTTGGCTTGAGGTGTGTATATCTCGTTATCGTTAAATTCATTTCATTATTCAAAATACTTTTAATATTAAACACGCATGAACAAAATGGACGTGATTATTCAGGAAGTATTCAATTTTTTGAATGTCAAGAAATATTGCCGGGAATTTGTAGAATTTTTGGAAATTGTAGTCCAATAAATTGTTTTTTTAGAAACAATGATGTGATAATCAGTATTAATGACAACAAAATAACAACGGTTGATAATGCTGGCTTAATAATTAGCAAAATTGTGAAATCGACAAATGATGCTAGACTGAGAATGGCAAGTTTGACATTTGTATTTTGCATAATTGATTTTTTTTTAAATTTACTACAACTCCGATAATCTGTAATTTTAGCAAATTGCAAGGAGAGAAGAGGAATCAATAAAAGTTATCAATTTGGATAACGGAGGTATAGATTTTGCAGCACTAATACGACGTATATGTGCTTGTAAAAGTAGAAAAAGTTTGAATATATTTCATTTTAGTCTACTGTCACATACTCCTACGACATTTAAACAATCAGTAAAACTACTTTTGTTTTTAACCATTTTTGACATGTTTATTAATTATTTAGGTGAAGAAATGTCAAGCCACGACTCGCTGCTTTTATTTGCTGAAGACAATTTCAAGCTGAAAAATCTCAAATTTAGAAGATTCTTAGTTGCTACGGGGAATGGACTTCGCTTAAGCAATTTCTGGACAACTTCTAAGGAGAGTGAGTACTTGTTTTATTCTCAAATTATATTCACACAAGTGAACTGTAATTCACATAATAGCAATAACGTTACTTTTATTAAAACGTTTCAAAGTATTTTAACACAAGAAATTATTTATTTCTCTTGTTGAAATTTATGCTTTAAATTGCTCATTAGCGATATCAGTAAAAAATAATCCCCGATTTTTGGATGTTGTTACATTTGTCGTAATCTTATCTTTTTCAATTTCTATCATTCACAAAATTCACTTAAAGCTGCCTTCTTTTTTCCTATTTACATGAAACCATTATATTGTTAAGAAATTAAAGAAAATATTTATTCTCTTGTATAGAATGTTTTAAAGTCAGATTGTATTACTTAAGAAACTACGAAGATGGTGAAACACGTTTTGTGACATTACAACACATTCACACAGGAAAATATATAAAATCCTCTCAAAATGCTTTCGCGTTAGAGGTAAGATTTCATTACAATTTTTTTCACTGCAACGTATAAAACTCTGTGATTCATGTACACTTTTGCGTAGAAAACATCTGGTATTTTTTGTATTAAATTCTAAGTAGAAGTTTGCAAAACTTTATCTTTTTTAAAAACATAACAAAGTTTGTAGACCTGCTATTTGCTTTTCTTGTCAAATTTAATGTATCAAATTTTATTTTTTATCACGTGTTATTGTGTGAATATCACGTGGGATTATGTATTCTTTTTATTTTATGTATTTTTTCTGGTTCGTTAAATATCTTTCATAGTGTGAAGAGCGAAAGCGTAGCGGCCGAAACTTTTTTGTCACCAATTTTAAATATATCTCTAGTCTACAGCAATGCCATATTGCTTATGATTTTTCAAACAATAATAAAAATCAATATGCTGTAATCTACTTTTCTGAATCCACCCATTAAGCAAAATATATTATGCCATGCATTATATTTTTACTTTTAGAGTTCGCCAAATTTGCATTTAAGCGATTTGCGTTATGATAGTCCATTTTTGTTCATTGTAAAAAGATGGAATTTGGATACAAACTATGAATACCTACAACCAGTCAATTTCAATGATGACAATCACCAAGCATTTGGTTTTGAGCGAAGAAAACATCCCCCCACTTTGTTATATTGCGATGACCACGGATGTATGTTCCGCTTTTATAAGAAATAGTAGGGTTTGTTAATCAAAGTAAATTTATTCATAAAACTTTGACGTATGATTAGTAATAATAGCTTTCTAATTTACTTTGTAAAACCTAACTGAATGTAAATGATGATAGTTTCAGGCCCCGTTTACACTATACCGAAATACTCTCGTAGCAGATAAATTTTTCTTTGTATTAAAAGGCAGTAAATTGTTCAACGTCAGAAACACAACCAAATAGACTAAATATATCAACTTAATAAGCTTTTACTCCGAACAATTACTCCTTTTAAAGCAAATGAAGATGATGTGATGTGCGAACCCGGTATAATGAAACGCAGCCATAGATTATACTTAATTTCTTTAACAATGTTAGTATTATAGTCCAAACTCTGTCATAGTCCAAACTTTGTCGTAGTCCAAACTCTGTCGTAGTCCAAACTGTGTCATAGTCCAAACTCTGTCGTAGTCCAAACTCTGTCGTAGTCCAAACTTTGTCATAGTCCAAACTTTGTCATAGTCCAAACTTTGTCGTAGTCCAAACTGTGTCGTAGTCCAAACTGTGTCGTAGTCCAAACTTTGTCATAGTCCAAACTTTGTCGTAGTCCAAACTCTGTCATAGTCCAAACTCTGTCATAGTCCAAACTCTGTCATAGTCCAAACTCTGTCATAGTCCAAACTTTGTCATAGTCCAAACTCTGTCATAGTCCAAACTCTGTCATAGTCCAAACTCTGTCATAGTCCAAACTTTGTCATAGTCCAAACTTTGTCATAGTCCAAACTCTGTCATAGTCCAAACTCTGTCGTAGTCCAAACTCTGTCGCCACGTCCACGAAAGTGACTACATTAATTGAGCTCTACAAAAAAAGGGGAGATTTATAAATTTGACGAAATTGGCAAAATTGAAAGAACCAAGTTTGGTATTTGAAGAAATAAACAAAAAATTCATTTGTGACAAGTTTGTGACATTTTTTTAACCAAACCATGGCTACGATTGTATCCAATAATGAACAAAACACGTCAATTACGTCAATGCACTAAAGAATACTCGTGTAAAATAGTTTTTCATCTTATTCTCACGTTCGGGGAATGATTAATGATGATGTTTTACTAAAGCAGATGAGCTCGTTGCAACATGTTACTAATTTTAAAAAAACTTGATAAGCACTTAACCAGATGAGTCTGAAACAATAATTACTTTCATACAAAATAACGTGATGAGAATTTAAATAAAAGTTTTTATCATACGGTATCACGTTATGATCAATTAAGGGACTGCAAAGTGTTTTTGGATTGCTGGGGTAAAGAATTGAAAATATCTCTGATGATATTGATTTGCTTGAAAATACCAGAGAAGACCACAAAACCGAAACTCTGCACCGAAACTCTGCTCGAAACTCTGCTCGAGGTTGTCCTTCATTTTTAACATGACAATATGCAAGACAAAAGCAGAAAATATCGTTGCTTACTCCAGTTGAGCTTTTTTTCAAAAGAACAGCGACATTACCAAACGGAGAGGATAGACTCTCGCGATTGTGTAAGTTGTCGAAAATTTCCATCTCTACAATCTCTATTCTCGACGAGACGCAAATGGCAAGTCTAGATCTGAGAAAGGTACAAGACTTTAGACTTTGATAATTAGTTCATAATGCGAAACGCAGAGCAATTTATTTTGAATTAGCAAAACGTCAATGCAAAATTTAAATAAGTCTGAACTGTAAAGAACGGCTGACCAGAGTAAAAATGTTTACACATCGAACTTATTTTATTTTTGTCAATAGCTTATAATTGATGATCATAGCTCGTGTTTTCAATAGTTAATTGTCTGAAAAGTTTCTTTTTTCACAAATAAAAGTTTAGAGTAAATTAATTATAACATCATTATATAACTACCGCTTATTGGCAAAAAACACATGCTGCGAATCTAATTTTAATTGATTTTGTTGCTAAGAAATGATAACATTGTATGAAATAAGCTTTTAGCATTTCGTTGACACAGGAACTCCCAATAAAATATTAATGACAAGTCACGCAAATAGCTCTTTAGGAAAATATTTCAGTGTATAAGACAAAGGCATTAGCTATGGTGCAAAAAAGAAGACGAAAATTATAGATGGAAATCTGCTTTCAAGTACTTGGAAATTGAGAGAGAAAAATAGTTAAAAACTGGTATGACCTCAATTTGACAGCTTATATTTTAAAAATAGTTTTACTTCAACCCAAGCTTCGACATATTAGCAGGTTTTATACAATATACTTGGAATAAGCATTTGTTTATAACAACATCAAAAAAGACATATTTGTCACAATTTATTTGTTACACTTCAGTGAAAAAAGATTTATGATACAAGATTGTGATACCACATTCTTTTGTTGTTCATTCCGCTTTAAGCATTCGTAAGTATTTTATTTTGTTAAAATTTTAGTAAAATTAAAAATATTTTAGGCATCAGTACAAATGAACAAAGTTTCTATGAAACACTATATATGACATAAAATTAATTAGGTCTGTCAAAATGAGTAAAGTTCACCGAAGTTTTGACAACTGATACTTTCTTTTTATCGTTTGCCAGAAAGTAACTTTGTCATTTAAAGATGTCTGACAATCTTTTGGTATAGTCAAAGCTCCTTGAGAACATGCAAAGAGACTTTAAAGATTAAATTTTATGCATAAACGCTTTTTTTCGAGAGATTTTGTGAAACGATTCTTGAGCTCGATATCTACGCAAAAAATACATTTAAGTGGATTTTAAAAGAAAGTTAATGGCAACGACCAACTCTCAAACTATGGAACAGCATTCCAACACTGTTCAACTGTTTGGATTAATTGTTCTCCCGTCCAACAAATATGTTGTCGAAAGAAACATTTTGGTAAACTTGATTGGTATATTGTCAGCCTTAAGTATAATAGCCAATGCAATTCTTATATTTGTCATCGTTAAAGATCCATTTAAACAGTTACGAACAATAACAGCCATGCTGTTAACGTTTAATTCATCAGCTAACGTCATTGTGTCTCTGATGCTTCTAGTTGACAGCATATTGCGTTGGAGTAATCATAATGCTGTCGACTTTTTATCAAAACTGACTATTGGCCTTGGTTCATGCAGTTTATCTTGGTATGTCTTTGCAAACATTCTACACACAGTCAACATTTTTAGTACCACTGTTTTTCCACTTCGTTATTCATATTTATCTACAAAAGCACTAAAGCTTTTGCCTTGTATCCTGTTTATTGATTTTGTGCTCATCGCAAGTGTTATTTTGATTCCATTGTATACTTTACGAAACTCAAAGATTCCTGAATATGTTGAAGGAGTTATGTCATTTTTATGTGCACAACTTATATTGTTGGTCATACTTTTTGTGTGTCTATATGCAAAAATATTTCATGCTCTGATTTCTCGAAAAAGAACTCTCCGATCAACGTTGAACATAACAAGAGCGTCAATACAAGGTGCAAAGATACTTAAAAGAAACAATGCTATTGCGAAGACATTATTTATTCATGTTACATTTTTCTTAGTAGTCGCCATTCCTCAAACAATAGCTACTTTGATTTCCTTATATTGTACATCTTGCGGGACACCAGAACAGGTTCAATTAGCTATACTTTTCTCGATACCATTTTTTTATCTTTTATTCATATTCCATCCACTTTTATGGTTATATCGGTTGAAAAGTTATAATAATGCTTTAAAACAAACATTTAGAGTTTTTGGACGTCGGTGTACAAAAATAAGAGCTATTGACGTCCCTCGACGTCAGACTCACATTTCAATGTCAACAACACCTGTTAACGATAGATTATAAATCTTTAAAAAGAAAAGTAAGAAAGAATCATTTGTATTATTGTAGCTGGCGTGATATTATATTGTTTTAAATTGAGTTGATTTTAAATTTAACCTGGGTTAAATCTGGGATAGTTTATGTCGTGTGAATATGGCATACGGCAAGGACTCTGATTGGGGAGTTGGATAATTTCGAATATTTTATTTGCCTATGGGAATGTCAGAACTTTTCAAATAAATTGTAATTTTTTGTTTAAATTCAATTTGTGGGTCATTACTGATAAGAAATACGCACAAAGGTAACTCTGCCTCTATTTGCCATAACAGAAAAAAGCTGAACAAGATTTTTTTAGTTGTAGTAACAGTTCTTGTACAATTTACTAAAAGTATGCGCTGGTTGAGTGTTTTCAAACAGTGTAATATAAACATGAAAAGTCTCGATTAGTAAATAAGTCAATATGATGATAGTAAACGAGTAGAAAACATGCAAAATTTTCTGCCCGCTAAAGCATTAACAAAAACTCTAAACCAAATTTATTATTATTGTAATGCAATCAATAAACTTCTGAAAAAGGCTGTTTAAGTCAAGATTCTCAACTACATACTCAACCACCCCTAGCCCCTTTGCCCTCTCCCTTAGTTACGCCACTGCTCAAACAATGTATCATCTCAACAAAAAATTATAAGGGAAACATTTTTGTAAACATGCACAATTTATTCTCGGGGCATTCCCAAAAAGTAAAACATACAGGAACGGACATCCCCAGCAAATATTGGGGAGTCATGTCTTTGAAAGAATTTATTGCGACATAATGGTGTTGGTCAGCGGTCAATCAAAGCAAAATCGAAACGTGGTACTGGACTACTGACAATAAAATATGATGACGATATCCACGACTGGTTGGCACTTTGTCAAACTAGTTGTCACAATGGTTTTCTGGGTTTTTTTCTGAAACTTATGATGATAATATTAGTTGGCCTTGTCGAAAATGTTTCTGTATAAAACTCGCCACCAATGCTAAACTAAAATCTAACAAAGACCTTTGTTGAGTCATTGAAAGATGGCGACTACCAGTTCAAAGGTATATTCTTCTTCACAGCAATATTTTGCTTTGTTTTCAGTAATGTCCTGAACATTTGATTGATTTGAACAATTTCATTACAATAAAATTTTAATGGATGGTAAATAAACATTCATTTAGTAGAAATTACGTCCTTGATATATTTAATTAATTAGAAATGTGTATTTTATTGTTGTATTTTGTTACTTTATGTTTTATCCCATAGTGCAAAAACATTTCATAATCTACATTGTTTGTCTACCATGAGTAGTTTTGAAATACATAAGCAAAAAAAAAAAAACACGATTTAAAAAAGATTTAATGTGGCAGTTTATCAACTTTAAAAAATACATCAATTTTGTTGAATCATATCATCAAACACAATCTAGTCCACAGGAATCATATTATCTGACTCTCATTTCAATATTTAAACAAAATAAATTCATTGGATTACTTCTGTCAGTTAGAGAATTTAACAAAAGAAGATTTGGTGAAGTTCATCAAGAAACAATCATCTCAACTTAAACAGTTGAAATCAAAATGTGAAGGTACAGTACAATGTGGACTGGGCATCGACTGATCATGCACACAACATGGATTGGGAATGCACACAGTATGGACTGAGCATGCACATAATATGGACTGAGCATGCACACAATATGGAATGAGCATGTTAGCAATTTATTGATCAGCTATAATTTTTATTTGTATGTGACCTTACAATTGCAACAAATTGTTCAATGCTACCCAAGCTCATGTACCTTTTTTGTTTGATGTGAAAATTGTCCATTGCAAGTAAAATGTGTGTTTCATAGATAATATTATTATTATTTTCATTTCTTCTCTCTTTCTCCCAAAGAAAGTTTTTCTTACTGAAATAAATGAAGTGAAACTCATTCAATAAATTTTTTAAAATGCAGATTTTCAAACTGTTATTCAAGAAAAAGACACCAGTATTAGTATACTTGAAGAGGAAAACAACATGGCTTTCACATAGGGTTCAAGCAGAGTTTGAAAAGAAAAAAGAGGTGGCTATGTAACCATAACTTTTTAAAGAAGCTAAAACTATGGATTGATAGTTTGAGAGTGGGGGAGGGGGGGGGGGCAATATTCATATATACATGTTAAACTGTATTAGTTTCTATTGAAATCAATTGTGATTACTGATTACATATAACTTATGAAAATATGAATATAGCCACCCCCCTCAATTATCAATTTTCCACACTTTATTTTAATAATAAAATTATTGTTACTTAAGCAACTTAAGATGAATTTTAGATGATTGATAGTGGGTATTTTTAAAGATAACCGCAAAAAATGAAGAATTACAAATGGCAGCTGAACTTAGTAAAAAGATGTTACAGAGAAATGATGAATTGCAAGAAGAGTTGGATAGATTAAAATGCACGATTCTTGTCTTGTCAAGTAAGTCATATAAGTTATGAGTTTAAAATATTGCTAGGCACATGTTTAGTTTACTCCTTTTTCTACAACTGTGTATCGTTATATTGCTAGGCACATGTTTAGTTTACTCCTTTTTCTACAACTGTGTATCGTAATATTGCTGGGCACATGTTTAGTTTACTCCTTTTCTACAACTGTGTATCGTTATATTGCTGGGCACATGTTTAGTTTACTCCTTTTCTACAACTGTGTATCGTAATATTGCTGGGCACATGTTTAGTTTACTCCTTTTCTACAACTGTGTATCGTTATATTGCTGGGCACATGTTTAGTTTACTCTTTTTCTACAACTGTGTATCGTAATATTGCTGGGCACATGTTTAGTTTACTCCTTTTTCTACAACTGTGTATCGTTATATTGCTGTGCACATGTTTAGTTTACTCCTTTTTCTACAACTGTGTATCGTAATATTGCTGGGCACATGTTTAGTTTACTCTTTTTCTACAACTGTGTATCATATTGCTGGGCACATGTTTAGTTTACTCCTTTTTCTACAACTGTGTATTGTAATATTGCTGGGCACATGTTTAGTTTACTCTTTTTCTACAACTGTGTATCGTTATATTGCTGGGCACATGTTTAGTTTACTCCTTTTTCTACAACTGTGTATCGTTATATTGCTGGGCACATGTTTAGTTTACTCCTTTTCTACAACTGTGTATCGTAATATTGCTGGGCACATGTTTAGTTTACTCTTTTTCTACAACTGTGTATCGTAATATTGCTGGGCACATGTTTAGTTTACTCCTTTTCTACAACTGTGTATCGTTATATTGCTGGGCACATGTTTAGTTTACTCCTTTTCTACAACTGTGTATTGTAATATTGCTGGGCACATGTTTAGTTTACTCCTTTTCTACAACTGTGTATCGTTATATTGCTGGGCACATGTTTAGTTTACTCTTTTTCTACAACTGTGTATCGTTATATTGCTGGGCACATGTTTAGTTTACTCCTTTTCTACAACTGTGTATCGTAATATTGCTGGGCACATGTTTAGTTTACTCCTTTTCTACAACTGTGTATCGTAATATTGCTGGGCACATGTTTAGTTTACTCCTTTTCTACAACTGTGTATCGTAATATTGCTGGGCACATGTTTAGTTTACTCCTTTTCTACAACTGTGTATCGTAATATTGCTGGGCACATGTTTAGTTTACTCCTTTTCTACAACTGTGTATCGTAATATTGCTGGGCACATGTTTAGTTTACTCCTTTTTCTACAACTGTGTATTGTAATATTGCTGGGCACATGTTTAGTTTACTCCTTTTTCTACAACTGTGTATCGTTATGGTTACAAATGTCAATTTCACATTTTAAATGTATAAAGTTTAAAACAGTCTTTGAATGTTTAAATCATAAACATGTTTTACAAAGAATAATCTGCATTGCACCTTTAATTGCTTCAATTGATTTTTTTTATATCAATGAATAATCTTCTATAAATTGTGGGGGATTTTCATTGATATTAAAGAATAATCTTCCATAAATTGTGGGGGATTTTCATTGATATTAAACTGACATTTGTTTTGATCATCAAACATTCTATTGTATAACTAAACATGAAAATTTCTGGAGTGTTAGATTGTAATATATAGTATACCCTAGTTAGGTCTGCCTTTACTCTTTTAACTTCTCACTTTATTTAACTTAATTGTACTATTTAGCATGAACGTGATTTCATAAGTGCAGAAGAAAGTGCTCAACTGTTGAATAAAATAAAGGTACAAAATCTTACAATTCTTCATTGAGATATATGATAAAAATTCAAAATACGTTTCAGAAATGAATATATGTCTGCATATTGTTTCAAATTTTATTGATACGTAATCTATAGGAGTTACAAAGTGAACGTGAGGAAACGTTGGAAAAGTTAGATCATCTTACTACAGAAAGAAATCATTTAATGAAAACTTGTAAAGTATGTGTGTATAGTTTCACATTCATGGACTTATATTTCATGTTTTAAATGGAGAAAATTGAAAAGTTTGACTTGACGAGGGAAATTGATTTTCAGTGTACTTGTAAAATTGACGCGGATTAGATATTCAATATTTTTCTCTGTACGAAAAATGCTTTTTGCCAGTTTCCCTTGATCTTTGTTCAAGCTTCAATGATGAATTAGTTTACCAGATTCAGGAATTGATTGCATGAGTCAAGATGATTGTCCTAGATAATTTGCACCAATTTATGAACTACTGTGTACAGTAATTAGTAGTTTGGCTTTATATAAAATCCCGCTACTCGAGCTCATACAAAAAGCTTCCTAATTTGATGTGCAAATGATCCATTGCAAGTAAAATGTGTTTTTTAATTAATGTAATAATAAATTTTCGCGAAATCATTTTTATAGGAGTTGAAACTACGAATGCATTCGCTTGAAAACGATGTAGACAGATTGAACAAAGGAAAAAGGAATTTAGCTGATTGTCAAGATGCAAGTGACGATAAAACGGTCAGAAATCATGTATTATTACAACTGGTCAAATTTCTTTCAAAATTTTTTACTTAACCAGATCGTGTGAAAACTAGCTATACAACACGTTAGATCGTGTGAAAACTAGCTATACAACACGTTAGATCGTGTGAAAACTAGCTATACAACACGTTAGATCGTGTGAAAACTAGCTATACAACACGTTAGATCGTGTGAAAACTAGCTATACAACACGTTAGATCGTGTGAAAACTAGCTATACAACACGTTAGATCGTGTGAAAACTAGCTATACAACACGTTAGATCGTGTGAAAACTAGCTATACAACACGTTAGATTGTGTGAAAACTAGCTATACAACACGTTAGATCGTGTGAAAACTAGTTATACAACACGTTAGATCGTGTGAAAACTAGCTATACAACACGTTAAATTGTGTGAAAGATAGCTATACAACACGTTAGATCGTGTGAAAACTAGCTATACAACACGTTAGAACGTGTAAAAGGAGCCATACAGGCAATTAATTCATTTCTCACAAAAAAATTTATGGCGAAAGTCTTTCTTTACATAAAATACGTTATACTAAGTGTGAGAGAAATCCCACTGACGAACCTTAGTATCTCTGTTTTATCACCAGAATAATATCTCTCAGTTTTCTGTAATTTTTCCTTTGTATCTTCTTCACCCCTGATTTATGATGTGTCATCTTCCTCTCACCCCCTGATTTATGTTATGTTATGTTACATGGACGGGTGGCTGCGATTAACATGGTTCTTTTTATACATTCAATATATTTCTAGGAATTGATTTCGAAAATTAATATGTTAGAAGAAGATAGGATTGAAATCGTCAAGGAGTTTGAACATGTACAAGAAATCATGTTGAAACTAGAAAATGAGAAAAAGGTTAAATAACAAAACTTTTGCAGCGTCGTTTTTAGCTTTTTATGAAGGTTAAAAATTTTGCCCTTTATGTTCAGGAGGACAAACAGAAGTTTGATCTTTTAACGAAAGAAAAATTGGCAGCAGATGAAAATATTCAAGATCTCGTAGAGAAAGTCAACAGCTTGCGTAAAGAGGTTGAGGTTAGATGTTGTGAACTATGAGTTGAACAGGAAAAATAAAACTTGAATTTTTTATGAGTGTTGTATGAAATTACAGGATTTAAAAGAACGCTTAGATAACTACAGTAATGACCAAGAAGATGTTCACTCCAGTTATGAAGAAACACGACGAGATCTTCTCGAAACACGTGATAAACATGAGGTAGCTGTACTTGTGTTATTGAAGGTTTTTATTTTCAAATCTTTGACGGTTTATTCTGGAAAGTAGCTAAAGATATTAAAATTGCTGTTTTCCTTATTTTTGTTATATGCAGTCGATAATGTTTACAATCATATGTTAATGTTGAAGGTTTACTTACATTGAACTTCAAAGTAAATATTTGTTATCCTTCCATGATTATAACCGTCATGTTCTTCTCTTTTGTCATGATTAGCCAGTCGTTTTAGCAGTCATATGTTGGGTGGACTTTGCTCTTATGACGTACACGTAGCATTGACCTTCTAATGTATTCTCTTTAGATATTGAAGCAACAGATCGAGGGAATGTTGCAGGAAAAATTGAAATTAGTTGATTCATTGAACTTGTTATCTGAGGAGAAAAGTTCGCTAGAAGAAAGTAATTTAAGTTTGGTGACTAAAAATGATGAAATAAAGCTTCAACTTGAGGAAATGAATCAAAGAAATAGGGTGAATTGTTTTTATTGTTATTGTGTCATGCAGTGTACTAACTTTTGACCCATCTTTGAAAGCATTAAATATACTTTAATTTGAAGGAGCTCTCTGTTCAATTGCAAAGCGTAAACCAGGAAAACTCACAGATAAGAAATAAAAATAAAGAGCTTCTAGAGACTTTGGAAAGTAATGAAAAACATAAAAACGTAAGTGCTTTTATCGTTTTTGCTCTTGCCTTTGATCACGGCAGGGGGGTATGTAGTTGTTGGACTCTTTTATAGATAAGATGCAGACTCTTCTCCCCTCATTAACTAATTAAATTAATTAATGATGAATTGACTTGATTTCAGGAATTAAAAAATCATCCGTCAGAATGTTGTGTGTTTTTAATTAAGGAATGTAAAAAAGCTCTGGAAAGAATGACGATTGATAACAAAAATTCAGAACAACTCATTGAAACTTTACAACAAGAGAAAAGAAAATGACTCAACTCATTAAGGTGCTTACAAAAGAAGATAATTTATGTTCATCATTATCATGTTAATATATTTTACTCAGTTTGTTTTCTTCTTAATTCTCATCGAGTTTAACTTTTCTGTACTTTACTTTTAGAAATTAAGAAACAGTGCCGCGGAAAATGTTAAACATGCAGCTACTGATGAGGTCAGATTTATTTTTGTCTTAGTGGAGGAACTGTATGTACGAAAAGTTATCATAAAACACCTTCTTAACTGTTAATTTCCTCGTGGTATTAAGTAGAATCTCATCTGGATTCTTATACTGGGCGATACTTGAAGTATTTTCGTTTAAATAATACAACACCAAAACGAAATGGCGGATTTCAACAATAATTTGTGGAATAATTTTTATACGATGATCATAAAAATTTCCCGACCATTTCATAACCAGGATGAGGTTATATTTATGTTTATTATGTGGTCATCATATGTTTTTGTTTATATCATGTGCAGCTGTTGTTTTTTCTTGTTTTATCTGAAGAATGTTTGTCTCGGGTACTTATTGCATCGGTTGAATTGTAATACTTCATGTTTTACCTGTTCTTATGGCTTCAATTAAATGCTAGCTCACAATTTCAAAAGTCTGCTGACTTTGCAGTAATCAAATGTCTTTCATTGTCAACATTGAAATGTGACGAGCGGAAGGACGATTGAAGTTGGAGAGTTACGTTTTTTTTACTATAGCGGCTATGCCTAATTTTATTTTAATTCGTTCTCTTCCATTAGAAAGATTTAAAGTCTCTACTAGCAGAGAGGGATGATTTACGAGAATCTTTAAAAAGTTCTTTGTCAGAAAATGAAACAATTCGTGAAAGATTCAAGGTGATGGATTTATGACTTTTTAATTTACGTTAATTTACGTTTGTCAGGCATGTAAGCATGTCAAGATATTGTATATAAAACAAAATTATTTTTATTCTTAATAAAGTCCCTTGAAAAGCAACATGAAAATGTATTGTTTGAAAAAGATGAAATGCAAGAGGAATTAGCAGATTTAAACGAAACTAGAACTGTAAGGACTATTAGTCAATTTCTTATCCCCGCTTTAAATAGAATTATCGACATTCCATAATCAGTTCGAATCACAAGCATGCTAACTCCTTCAATGTTATTTTTCAGCTACTCCAAGACGAGTTGAAAACTCTAAAAGAAGAGAAGTTACTGCTACAAAAAAGAATGAATGAAGAACTTGAAAATGCTTTACATGATGAAAAAAAGAAAACAGATGATATACTTGATAGTATGAAAGATGAGCTAAAAGCTAACTTGCGTTCAAATGAAGTAAGTTTATGTTTGTTGAAATCGATTGATAAAATTTTTTTATTGACATAAATAGCATTGTGGTTGATCTCTACTTGTAGCTATTGAATATACAATTGAGTCAGATTACTGTTGATAAAGAGGATTTGGAAAGACGTTTTATCGAATTAAACGAAAATCACAAAATTCTTATTGAGAAAAAGGAAGTAAGTTTTTGTGTTTTTTTTAAGCAGATACAACGAAGATTTGTTTAAATTCCGTACATCATGATGCGCAAGTTTATTGAAGAACATTTTGCGATCTCTGAAATTTTTTTTTATCTCCTCAATCTCCACTTTTAGGAATGGGAAAAACAATTACAGTTTACACTGGCGGAGAAAACAAAGACCCAGAATGCAATGGGAGCTGTAAAAAGTCAGTGGGAGGAGCATCAAGTCACGTGTGGTGGAACAAATAAGGTCAAGTGTTAATTATTAATAGTTATTATTATCAACCATTGGTAATTCAGCTTGAGTCAATCAGCGCATGTGCATTGTACACAAACCGTGTTTTCGCCCTGTAGGGGTACTTTACCCTGCTTCATATCTCAGGAGTAATATTTTTTGATAACTTTATAGCTGTTTCTTTATGAATTTAGGATTTGGAAGAAAGAATAAAAACTTGTTGCGGAGAAATTGATTACTGAAAAGGCCTTAGATGATCGTGCCCAAGAATTGAATTTACTACAAGATGAAAAAAAGGTTTCTTCACTCAGTTGTCTCCTCAGTTTTTATTTCCTCCTTTTTGTTCAGGCAATTTTGGTAAAAAATTATTTTATGGTTAAGAAATGTTTAATTTTACCTCTGTTAGAGCTTTCATGAGAAAATAAACATCGTCGTCAAAGAAAAAGAAGATATTGTGAAGAAAATGCAGCAACAAATCGATTCTTTGGAAAGTGAATATGAGGTGAATTAATAAAAATATTAAAAAATGTGCTGAGAGAACTCTGGTCATTTATGATAATTGCACGAACAAGAACATGACGAGTCTCATATTTTATTGCCATATGACTTGTTGTTTGTTTGTTAAAGAAAATGGTTATATTTTATGTATTTTATACAATAAAATACAGAATAGAATATAACAATTTTGAATAATAATATAATATGATAATTATATATATATTATATTATGTATAATACAATAATTTTGAATAAGAATATAACAGTTTTTATTGTTATTACAACTTCACATTTCGTGCCAAATTCAATCATCAGGTAACAAAAAACGATCAACTTATATTTTTACAACATCACGTTATTTCTTTGCTGACGCGCGTGGACTTTTGAATCGTCCAGCGTGGAATTGGCGTGAATTGAGACATTGGAGACATTATGCGAAAATTTCCCTTCGTTTATTAAGAAGCGCTCCATCTCGATTTTCAAGAATCTTTAATTTTTCTTCAGTATATACATGTACACCACCACGCAATATCTTTACGTCACTACCAATACAATAATGAAACGGAACTATCTAAAAATATACATATGGCCATTTTCTAAATTTCATTCTTTTCTTTTATATGATTTATCTATAGGAATATAAGAATGACATGGTAAACTCAATACAAACGCTCGATGCTAAATTGAGTCGAGTAAATGATGAAAAAAATGTAAGTGTTTTAATAATTATGGTGACTTTATACTGTTAAGAGATCTGGCAAAATTTTATCCTCCATCTCGCTGTACAGTGATAGTTTCAATTGAAAAAAATTTCATCTAGCCATGTGTAAAATATGTTGTAGAACCTCCGCTGTACAGTGATAGTTTCAATTGAAAAAATTTTCATCTAGCCATGTGTAAAATATGTTGTAGAACCTCCGCTGTACAGTGATAGTTTCAATTGAAAAAATTTTCATCTAGCCATGTGTAAAATATGTTGTAGAACCTCGACGCTGATTTTGAAGAACTGCTCCATGCTCACGAAGAACTTCAAATAAAACACGATGACCATGTTAATGCAAACAAAGTATGCTAAAGTCGATTATTCCTATCTCGAAAACCATTTTTTCTTATTTTATAATTCGTCGTAACTGCATAAAAACACTATTGCTAATGCACATTTAATGAACACGACAAGTTGTTTTTTTTAAATAAACATGTTTCAACATTTTATGGTGCCATTATCATTATTCGTGAGAACATCATATATATGATAAATATATATAGTAGTCATATGTTAAAGTTTATACAAATGCAACCATATTATATACAATTAAATATTGGTTAGAATTAATAATGAGTGTATTTGCAGAGTGAATATTTAGTGTTGAAATTGTCGTATTTATTAAATATGCATTATCATTGATCATTTTATATAAATCGTTTCTAGAGATTTAGTATACACATTTCAATGGTGAAGCTTGCGAAACTAGAATTTTTACTCATGTTGAACAAAATTTTCAGCAAAACTAGAATTTTTAATATTTTTGAAGTTAATTTCATTCATCATTTTTTCTATGATAAAATACAAAAGTATTTAGGTAGAGAAACAATTCAGACTGATTTCGCTAATGTTTATGACTTTCTATTCTTGAATGCCCTAACAATGTGACCTAGCATTTATTAAATTGTCCCCTTTTTCTGTCCCCGTTACAAATAGAAATCCCATTTTTATTTGTCGAAAATATTTAAGGCGTATGTTGCTATGGTATTGACAATTGTCGTTGTCATGCATAGCATTTTACGCTTCTGGTGTTTCGCAATATTTTCTTACAATTTAACGTTACATTGTGACTGCATGTTTTTGATTGACCGCAGTCTCTACAATGTTACGAACTTATCTGTTATCTTGGTTATGATTTTCTAGGAACTGAATAATTTACTTCTCAGAATGAGTGTCGAAAAAGATGAACTATTTAACGAAAATCAGGTAATTTACGTGAAAGAAATGCATATTTGTGCATATTTATATAATCAATGTGTCGTAAAGTTATACGAATTAGCCATAAACTTCTGTTATAAACTACATCGTTCTCTTATATTGGCTGGTGCTCAAAATACGTAGCATTGATTAAATATATTTTGATCAAACTATAAAGATACCTAAATTACAATTCAAGAATAACCTGAATTGAATTATTGGAAGAACAGATGAAATGTCTTGACTTCATCATCACTATACATTTTCATTAAAGTGTTTAAAAATAAGAATTTACCTGACGAACAATATCCGAATTGTGATAATAGAAATTTTCACATTATATCGACAGGCTTTCAGAGAACTGAACAAATAAACTCAATATTTTTAACTTCTTCATATGTAAATATGAAAGTAGAAACATGAGATGACTCTAGATGTGTAAAATTTTTTGCATATATCTGCTTTGTCTTCATCAAATTATATTATATTTAAGTTAAGCTGTTGCATCATTTAGTTTTCTTATAATGGTCAGCAAGTAAAGGTTTCAGAGCTCGTGTTTTTATGCGTTCAGCATTTGTCAGTGTACTTCGTATGAAGCTTTTTAAATTAGTCAAATAGCTTAGCAAATATACAGTTGTCTACGTGAGCGCGAGAGAATTCTTGATCGAATTCACTCATGTGTATTAATACGTGTTTTTGTCTAGCCAGGGGGGAGGCGAGAACAAAGCCTTCATTTCAGTTGGGAGCACAAAGATTTTTATTATCTGTACCTCTGTATAATTTTACTGTGGTTTATATATTTTAAGTACAATTGTACTGTGCTTAAGTGCTGTTATAATGTAATTTTGCGATTCTTTTAATCACAAAGTCTTTCATTATGATGTTTGATGTAGGTTTTATCAGCGCGTCTTTCCTATCAATCAAACCAACTCGACTCTCCGGAACCAGGGGAACCCGAAGAAATTTCACGTTTGCAAATAACTAACGAAAATTTACTTGAGGTAAATAAAACAAAACATTCAAAGCGTGTTACACATATTGAGCATTTTTTTACAAAGTTTGAGTTGTTTAACGAGAAAGATTGGACTGGCGTATTTTTGACTGATCGAGCCCGTTAGGTGAGCTTTGTACGAAACGTCATATATGGCAGTTTACATTTTTACTTGGAAAATAGGACCATTTATTTTATTATTTCTTGAAATGCTTGCATGTCATAACATAAAGTAAAACTCACTTTCCAAGTTTTCTTTCACTGACCCTCATCTGTACATGTTTTTTGTTTCGGTTTTGTCGTTTTACGAAACTTTTTGGTGTTTGCTTGATTGCTTTAGGAAATTTTTTACTTTATTTTGAAAATTACGTTTAGCGGATCGCCATTTTATCGGATGTGACGCTTTCCATTTAATAATAATGAATATCAATAATTATGCGAACAATTTATCTTCCAATGATTGACAATATTTGTTTTGAAGGAAATTGCATGTTTGAAGGACAAGTTGAACGAAAAAAAGGAAGCCATTGCGATGGAAGAAAACCCAGTTTTCTCAGATGATGAAAATGAGGTTACTTTAAGTAAAAACGAAACTACTGAAAACGAAAAAGTAAACACAGTCGAAACTAGAGTTTCCGAATTAACGCAAGAGAAATATCACTTACAAAATAACTTGAACGATGTACGTGAAGAAGTTTCTGTATTGTCCCTGAAACTTGAAGATAAAATCAAAGAGAATCTTGACTTGCAAAACAAACTCAAAGAATTTGCGTGTTTGACGGATGTTCAAACTGCGAATGATAACGAGATTGTGGATTTAAGAAATGCAGTTGATATTTTACAAAATGAAAATTCAGTTTTAAAAGAAACGATCGAAAAACTTGAAGGAGTGAGTGAAGACTACAGTTGCGAAATAAAAAACTGGAAAGAAAAGTATTTTGAGAAAGAATGTGAAAAGGATTTACACGATAGCAATATTTCAACCTTTGTAAAGTCATTGAAAGATGTTGGAATAATATGCAATGATGAAGATGATATTTTAGAAATTTTCTTAAAGACACAAAAACATATGAAAGAAAGCCAACAATCTATTTCTTTTCTCAATGAAAATGCTCGTGAAAAGGAACAAAAGTTGTCTGATATAACTGCTGAATTGAATGGTCTCTCCGACGATTTGCAGCAGAAAGAAACTCTTTTGCTTGAAAAGGAGGAAGTTTGTCGTAAAAATGAACAAGACATGTTTAATGTTAAAACTGCTTTTGAATCAGTGTCAGTTAAGTTGACAGAGAAATCAGAAGAATGTGAAAATCTTATGAAAATGCTTGAGAACGAAAAAAACTTTGCTAAAGAATTAGAGGAAAACATAAAGAATATTGAGAAATTAGCTGAAGAAAGGCAGGAAAAATTAATTCTAGCTGAAAAATCTTTGTCTGATGAAGTAGGTAGGTCGAGCGATCTGCAAAGCAGGGTTGACGAAATTTTAAATGAGTGTAAAGCTAAAGACAAAGAGATTTCTATTTTGGAAAATGATCTGTTAAATTCAAGACATTTGGTCGAAGAACTAGAAAATGATATAAAGCGGAATGATGAAACCTACAGCAACAAACTTAAAACAAGTTCGACAAATATTATTGAAAAAACAGAAGAATGCGAAAGTTTGAAGGAAGAACTTCAAAAAAAGATTGTAGAAGTTGTTTCTTTGCAGCAATCGCTTGAATCTCGGGATATGGAACTAAACGAAAAATTATCTTCCTCAAATAACCAAGTTGTAGATTTAAGTAAGGAAATTGATCTACAGACCAAGAAATTCTCTGAGCTCAGTGAGTTATTGAAACAAACAAAAGAATCAGAAAAATATTTGAAGGAGTCCTTGAGTAAGTTGACACAAGAGTGTTTGGATAAAGAAACAGAACTTAATAAACTGCGTGAAACACAAGTCATGCTTCAGACAGAATTATCATCTTTAAAAGAAAACAATCCAACAACTCATGAAAATCTTATAAAGAAAGACGTCATGGTTGTGTCACAGTCAACACCTTATGAGGAAGAGTCACGTGATGAGCTGAAAGAAAAGTTAAATTTATACTTAGAGCAAAAAATGAAATTAGAAGAAGAGATTAATCGTCTGCGTATTAATGGAAGTAACTCCAACCACAATGAAATGAGTAAAAAATATGGTAAGCGTTGTGAATAAGCCCTAGCATCCTGTTTATCAATTTTTCTATTCTTTACCGCATGTTTTCTTCTTGATTGTTTGACGTTTTTATCTCTCCTGTAATTTATAGGAGTACTTGAAAAGCAAAACAAAGAACTTCAGACAAAAATGAATAAAATGAAACAATTGATAGTAAAGGCAAAAAAAGAAAGTGAAAGTTTAAAACAGAAGGTAAGTAATTTTACTGCATTTATACTATGGAGACACTGTATAAACATAGCATAAAATAACGGAACATAACACTCTCTTCAAAATTATTTTTTGGGCGTTTTCACTGTTATGAAATTCTTTATTTCGAACAGTGCGAAGATGAAAAAGCAGGTTTCTCTGAGATTATCAAACAAAAAGATGAAAAAATTGCGTCCATGGAAAATGAAAATGAACTTAAAATTTTGAGAGACTCTGAAAAGGTTTGTATCACACAAGAGATTTTATTTAAGGTTTTATGAAATGGATGAAACAAAAAGTTCAATTTGTGAATGTTTTATAAATTTTTTTCGACTTATAACAATTATTTTTGATATTTTATTGCAAATATTTCTTGATTTTCCTTAGAGTGAAATGTTCAGCAAACTTGAGGAAGAACTACAAACTGTAAGAGAAAGGTATGACGTGAACGATTTCTTTATTTCTTACTTAAGAGACTTTTTTAGAAATCCACAATTTTATATGTATAAAATATGTAAAAGTTGATTGAGTTATATCAATGTAGAATTATAAATGTAAAATATTGTGTATCTCTATATATTCTCTGTTCATTGGTGAAAAAATCCTGTTATAATAGGCAAGTTATTGATTTTGTATTTTTTGGTTTTAATTGGTGAAAGTTTAACAGAGAAGACTCTGCTTCATCATCAGGAGAAGGAAGTTAGTGTCTGATTTCGTGTATATTTCACATTTCTTTATTCACATGAATTTTTTGTTATCACTTTAATAGTTGTATCTGTTGATTTTCATCTCATATAGTCATTTCAAGAGAGATATGAAAATATAGAAAAGGAAAATCTTGAACTTGAACATAAATATGATGAGATAAAAAAGTTATGTGATGATCAAGTTGTTAAAATTGGTTTGTTGGAAAAGGAAATTGAGGAGAAAGAAAAAAAATGTCTAGAGGTACGTTTATTTTTGCAAACTTATGTAAATAATAGTGCTGTAAAGTCTTCGAAACTCGAATTATTTTCAGAAGTGAATGATTAGCGTCATACTTACACATGTTTATGATGCGGTAACTATTGCATTTTTAGTTTTCAGATCAGCTCAAAAGTCTTAATGATGAACTGACTGAAGAAAAATCTGTACTTAATGATGTACAGTCCGAGTTAACAGCTGCCAAAGGACTATTAGAGCATTCTGAGAAGGTCTGTACTATTAAATATAGGTATCGGCATTTACAGGTGAGAGAGATAGTTACTGATAGGATTTGCATGTACACATAAACATTTGTCGTAACTCATGGGAATCTATAGTTCCACATATGGATTTGCAGTAACCTATGATTCAATTACATGTGGTAATTTGTTGTGAGAATAGTGGCATGGCAAGTTTCACACTTAAAAACAAAGCTTTTTTATCGACTTAGGAAGCTGGTAAAGCAAGTCTTGTCGATCTCGAACTGGCAGATTGTCAAAATGCATTAGAGAAAGTTGAGAAAGAACTGTCAGAAAACGAGATAAAGCTGAGGCAGAAAGAAGATGAATCTCAAGCTTTAAAAGATCAGTTGGTGACAAAAGACAATAATATAGGTTATTTATATCGCAAATTTCCAAATTCATCGCTTTACTTCATGATTGTAAAACCACTATTTATGCGTATATCAATGTTAAATTTATCATCAATCTTTACTACACAACAGAATTGCACCTGTGTTGTGCACTACATCAAAAACGAAAATATTAATTCCTTTCATAATTCATTTGTGTTGTAGTAGAAGATTTACGTGATTTTTGCCTTGATTTGCAGCTTCATTGGAGGGAAAATAATTCAAGCAGAAGAAAAGAAAAGAAATTAAAAACATGCTGAAAAATTCTAAGAAAGAATCAACTTTGTTAAAAGAAAAGGTTCTAGTGCGCTTTCTGTGATAATAAGATGCCCGTTAAGAATCGCAATCAATTCTATGATTTTTGATTTATATGTTACAGGAAAATACGATGCAACAAACTTTAAAAGATTTGGAAAAGGAACTTGAGGAAAAGAATCTTGAAAATGAAAACATCAAAGTACATAGTCGTTCATGTTTGCTTTGTGAATTATGTTATAATTACATCCAAAGCAATCTCAGCAGCTTGAAATTGTGCTTTTTTTCTGGTTGTTTCTGTAGGTACAACTTTCCGTAGTTCACGCCGAAAAACTAACTTTTGAACAGCAGGTATAGTCTTTGTGTAGAAGAGATCTTGTTGTTTTTTTAACCTTATTATATTTTGTCTTTCATGTGTTTAGCTTCATTCTGTAATTGAAAATAATGCAGTTCATCTGGAAAGTCTTGATGCAAAACTTAATCGTTTAAAAGGAGAATGTGAAGCGGCCAAACGAGCGAAAAGTGAACTGGAAAGTGAATATGATAACTATAAGGTTTGTGACAAGTATGTACGAAGAATTTTTATGATGAGAACATACATTGGGAAAAATCTCACATGGCAATCTCAAAAGATATTGTATTTTTTTGTGTTTACATATAAAGATTGTGATTTCGTAAATGTTTATTTATAGACAAGAGTTCACAGTGTTTTAAAACAACAGAAGTCGAAACCATCTACTCCATCATTACATGTAGAGGACAGTGAAAGGTCGAGTAATTCAGTTTTGCTTTTTACAAACTGCATATTTGCAGTCTAGTGAATATAATTGTATCAAAGCCGTCACAAAAGTATCGTATACTGCATGTTGTCAAGATATTACTGTTCAATTGTAGATCACAACTGCAACAAAATATCCTTCAACTAAAAATAAAGCATCAAGAAACAAGGTAAGTCATGTATTACCCAAATCTTTGCTTTCATCCCGAATTTTCATATTGAATTTCTCCAAAAGGAGAGATGACGCTCAAAACAGGGATAAATTATAAACATAATCCTTTTGTCGGCAGAGGACGGGATTGGTTAACTTAATTAAAACAGACTCCATGACGCGTAACTGAAAGAATGAACGGCATTTCTTAATGATTCTAAAATTGTCGTTTGAATTAGAATCAGCACAATGGGAGTTATTCAAGAGATGTTTACCTATTGCGGAGTCACATGAAACTAAATTATTTTTCTTACAATCACGTTTTGGTTGTTGTCTTGAGAGGACCGTTCTATTTCTGATTGAAGTTTTTCTGTGTTTTAGCGAAAAACTGCACTCCTTGCAAAGTGACTATGAAGACTTAGAAACTGAAAATGAAAAGCTAACTACTGCTCATGCGCAGCTTTCTTTAGATTCAGAAAACAAAGAGCGATTTTGGAAAGAAAGGTTTATTTTTTTATCAACTGACATTGGAAGATATAATGGTGGGGTTGTTGGTTGAATCATCGTAAATTTTTTTAGAATAGAGAAAATATCTCAGGAATATTCGACGAGTTTCGAACGACAAAAAGAAACGATTGAACATCTTAACATGAAAAATGAAACGTTATCTAAATCATTTAAGGTATTTTCCTTTGATTAAAATTTTCAATACCTAAAATACAATTCATGTAAAAGATACGATATGCGTTAAAGTCTCCTGCTACTTATATATTCAACCCCCACGATTATCTATTCCATCTCTCCTGATTATCTGTAATAAGAATTAAGTAAATGGTTTGAACCCGGAGTATCGTTATATGTTTGTAAATGATGATCGTCCAGGTTAATAAAGTCCTGAGAAGGACTGTTTTGTTGTTGACTGACGTTTCGACAACCTTAGCGGTAGTCATCTTCAGAGTAATGACGTCATGACTCTGAAGATGACTCTGAAGATGACTACCGCTAAGGTTGTCGAAACGTCAGTCAACAACAACAAAAACAGTCCTTCTCAGGACTTTATTAACCTGGACGATCATCATTTACAAACATGTAATAAGAATTATTGGACATTGAGTTGTACCCACTCTGCCACCAGAATTTTTAATGATGGTTTTGTCACCAAATGGTGAGACTTAAAACCAACAATATCATTCTTCAAAGAACGAGTGAATTAAGGATCTTTCGTTTTTTATTGCTATTATTATTCTCGTTGCATTTTGTTGCAATGTTATTCTTAAGTTGACTTTGTAAAATTTGAATTGAATTTTTATGTAGTTTATTAGTAATTGACGTAGAGTAATGTTTCAATGTTTACTTCAATGTTTACTTCCATGTTTTCATGTTACTCTTTTCATTGTGATGTTTGCTTTTTCTTTAGGAAAAAATTCGAAAACTTGAAGAAGATTATAAATCAAAAATAGAAAAACTTAATCGTGAGATCGATCAAATTGAAAAAGAGCAAAAGAAGGAAAGTCCACAGTTAAAGTTGAATCTACCTGGAGATGTTGTTAATGTGACATTTGAGGAAAGACAGGCAGGAGAGGTATACATTTCTTTGTATTTTTATCATTCGTTTATGTTTATGGGAAAAACTTGATAACAGAGAAGTCTTAGTGAATTTCGTGCAGGATATTGCTTATTTTTATAGATACAATATTATTATCGATTTTTGACTTGTTTGAAACCGAGATGTTTTTTTCACAATGATGAAAAATAACTTTTTTAATTAAAGGGAATGGATAACACGGAACTTGAGCAAGTAAATGTTTTTAGTCAGGTGAGAAATCTTTTACATTTATATTATACACGTCGAAATAATGTTAAATGTCCTGCACATGCGCAATAGGATGTTCATCTGCTATTTTATCATTTAGCCGACTACGCCAGCTTCTACTGCATCATTACATAGTGTGGCTCTGGAGACTTTACTATCACCCAATAAAGGTATAAAAAAGAAATATATCTGAGACAATAAAATAATTTAAGTATGCTCTGGACAGCTTTGTGAAGCTGAAACATAAGGGAGACGTATTTACATCATGATTTATGATATAGGAAATTTTCTTACTTCCATCGTTACTCATGTACAGGGCTGTCTATGGGGTAGCCATCACAAATCGCATGATATACTTACGTGCACAGAGTTGTACTCGCGTTTTCTGAAAGTGGTGTGTGCCTTTTCGAAACAATTAAATTACGTTCACAACTTTGTTCATGTATAGGTTGCCATATCAGAAACATTTCTTAATTATATTTTGAAATATCCATCAAGAATCTGAATTTTTTATGTTAACAGAAATGGCAGATTTGCATGATACTGTTCTTACGGAAGAAGAAATTTTAACAGCAAGACGTGAAATAGAACATCTTTCTGAGGTACATGTTTGAGTCAATCAGATTATGTGAACGAAATATGTGTTGTTTTGTACATTTTATCGCTAATGCTCATTTCAGCTGCTCCGTGAGAGTGAAGCGACAGCAATGAGACTTGGAGAACAAGCTAAAGTATTGAAAAATGAAATAAGACGGTGCGGTTAAGTTGCATACATTAAGTTTATACATTTTATGCACACATGTAGCACATTTACTTATATAGAAAGACCTACTCGCTGATGTACTTTTACTAATTTATAAATCAGAAAGGTTATTGGAGTAAGATTAGTTAATTTAAGTTGATAAGGTGTTTTATTATAACGTTGTTTGGGAAATACAACCAGTTTGTTTTTTTTACTAATCTCTTCCCTGGAATATCTTCCTTAATTTAGCTAGTTTACCAAGTTTTTTTTCATACTTTTTCTTTTCCAACTTTCATCGTTACTAAACTTACGGAAATTTCATTCTTCAGACTAGAACGGAATCAAGAAAGAGAAGAAGGATTATCAAATTTGGAGTATTTAAAAAACATTATTATTAAGGTATAATAAAGTGATTATAGTTCGATTTATGGTTTTTCCATTAGTAAACGAGGCCATTAAAAATGTCAGTTATTTATAAACATTATCATTTACATTAGAAATATGGAATTATTTTTTCAACTGTAGTTCCTTAGTCAAGGTTCAAACGAGAAAGAACAACTTATTCCTGTGTTGACTACAATGTTGAAACTTAGTGAAGATGAAAAGGATTTCCTCTCAAAATATGCTCGAGGTAGAATTTCATTATGAAAGTTCAGACTTTCCATGCAATGCTTTGTGCATAATATCTTGTTTTCATCACGAAACACATTTACACTGACCTCTTGTCATAGTAATCAAGTTTAAAATTTTACTATTCAGTCACTGAACTCAAGATATTCTTCAATCTCCACAACTGTACTTAAATGTATTCTTATTTGTTTGCAGACAGTGATGTTGACGACGAAACTAATTCAAGTTGGTCGAGTTATCTTTACCGATGGAGTTCCGTGAATTAATTGTGAAAGTTCATTACTATTTGACATTGACATTTCGAAAACTCATGGGCAATCAGTAGGGTGGCCGGTCGCCATCGTGTTCATTACTTAGAAATAATAATAAACAATAAAATAGAGCTTTGGTGCGGTGACAAATTAAAAAATGTTTTAAAGATCGCCAATACCATGGTGAATGGCGAAAGTAATTAGTTAATAGTTCTTAAAAGAACTGTTTTAAGCACAGGATACTAACCCAATAGTTCTAAAATAACTGTTTTGAAACTAAATGACAGTTCTTTTACAACTCTTGGATTAGTGTTCTGTGCTTAAAACAGTTCTTTTAAGAACTTTTTACTTATTCCATTTGCCATACACCATGGCATTTGCGATCTTTAAAATGATTTTCAAATAATATTGATTTCAATGCAAGCGTAAAATTCGTTTTTTAACTTTAAAAGTATCCACCTCGAAGAATGCAGCAAACACAAGAATATCATTAGATTCATTAAGTCTAGCTGACCTAATCGTCTCAAATGATTACAAAGCTTGGACAAGTAATTATTAGGACATTGTAGGATCAGCTTTCATGAACCAATTTCATGAAACGCTTTCCTATTGGTTGAAGATGTAGATCGTCCAGGTTACTGACGTTTCGACAACCTTATCGGTAGTTATCTTGACAATTTTTGTTTGAGGCGTGCAGTGGGATTAAGATTCGTCTCCCTTAATCTAAAAGTATTTTAATCAAACCAGAACGGTGAATAAATGCTTTGCTTCAGAACCGATTATGTCATAACCATACTTATAAACCATCTAAAATTCTAAATAATTCTTATAAACATACTTCACTTCTATCCATTGAGTTCTGTGACAGACCTACACCGTAACACGTGATCTTACAAATTTTTTGATATAAATAATTAATTGCACTAATATGGCGACTGACAGAGGTAATTCTGTGCATCACACAAATTCACCGTTCGGTACTAATCTTTCTTCGTCTTCAAGACCTTTAATTGGTGGTTATGATGTAGAATTTGTTTCTGTTATTCCTCCTGATTACATATGTCCTATTTGTCAACTTGTATGTCGGGATCCTGTGCAAACAGCAGAATGTGGACATCGCTTCTGCGAGAGTTGCTTGGAGCCTATATTGAGGTAATTGACACTTGTACGATTTCATCAAAATTTAGATATATATATCTTGTATTAACCATACAACAGAAAGCATTTTCTTTTGCTTTAGAAAAAACAATCCATTTTGCCCTCTAGATCGGCGAGCATTGACGAGAGAAAAGGTTTGGAATACATGTTTTTGTCAAAATTTCCAAATAATAGTTTAGTAGGACATGCCATGATTAGTATTTCATTATGTTTCCATGGTTGAATGTAGTGTTTATTTACATATTGTTTCACTTTCTTTTCCTTTTTTTTTTTGAAAAATATGCATCTATTATGGTGTATTGTATTAATGTACTAGCTGCCTTATCCAGGGATGTATTAATTAACTAAGTACAAGGCCTGACCTAATTTATTGATCAAATTTCATTCTATGCCAGCATTCAACAATGTAGTGAGAGACTGTAGGGAATATATATTTGAAGTGTAAGCCATTGACTTCTGAAGTTGGCTGCAAGCCTGCAAGTAACAGGTCCAGAAACAAATATCAGAAATTATTGAAGTTGGCACATGGCTTCCCATTCTGGGCCATTCATATATAATTTACCTATTTCAAAAATTTTGGGCTGAATATTTATGGCATTTTGGAAAATTGCTCATGGTCTGGTGCTAGCATTTGAAAGAGGAAAATACTCTTTCAATTTTCACTTTTCAGTTTCTTTACCATTATTTTTCAGGTGTATGCTGATCGAGCATGCAGAAGGACAATTAACTCGCTTAAAGTGAGATGCCAAAACTATGGTGATGAATGTGAATGGTCTGGAGAACTTTCTAATCTTCCTGTATGAATCTTGTATTGTCTGTGTATGAATCTTGAAGTTTTAAGTCAAAATAATTTTCTTAAGCTGAATGAACTATGTTGCTGTTTGTAGTTTTTTTTACGTTTAGCATTTGCAGACCCAGTGCAGGATAGATAATCAAATCATCCTTTATATTATTATTTACATAATGTTCTCTGTTTGATACTGACAGAATCATCTTGATAGTTGCAAACACTCTCCTATAACATGTGTTAATAAATGTGGAAGAACAGATATCCCAAGAGATCAGGTTAGTAGATTTGATAGCTGGGTTGCCAACAAAGTATTGTTTCATTTTATGAACTATAAATGATACAAGTAATTGTAATTGTTTATAGAAGATAAAAAATTTTGATGAATTTTCATTCTATATTTTCTGGTGTATGACTTGCACAGCCTCTAACCTGCATGGCACATAACCTGTAAAGCTTATATCTTTCACAATGTATAATCTGCATAGTACATAAAAGATAAAAGTTTCTCCGGATTTTAAGTGATTTTTATTGATTTTATTGATTTTTTTTTTAATCTGCATAGTGTATAATCTGTGTGGTGTATAAACCACGTGTTGTATAATCCGCATATACAAGTTATACAAGTTACACAACGTATTCTGCATGGTGTACATATAGCTGGTGCAGCATACAACTTGGGCAACCTAGAAATTAACCTGTATGACATATCAACAGCACAGCTGCAAAAAATAATATATTTTGTAAAAGAAAATTTAAATATTACAATTTAACTGCAGCCACAGACTTAAGGTTTAAGATCATTTAAATTCAAAAATTACAACGGTGTAGATTTTACAATAAAAAAGGCCTTTCGCGAATAAGACCAACATTTAACTGCTCAATTATTGCTTAAGTTTAGAAGAAAACGTTGTTTTTGAAAGTCAATAATTTCACATGTGCTGTGTTCACTAATGTTCGTTTTTTATGCTTACATAATAATTATGACTCCGCTAAACAATCTCTGACAATATCACCAAAACTCCAAAAGAAAATATTAGCTCAAAGCGCTACTAAAACTCACATGGTCTTAAAATCATAAATTGTTTGAAAGATTTATCAGATCAGCTGCTTCACCATAAAACCAGCACTATCCATCATTTTTGTCAGATTTAACAGATCAATGCTGGTTATACGCCAGAAAATTCTCTATAATTCAAGTATGATACAGAGATGATTTTTACAACCATTTTTCGTACTAAGTTTAGATTCATAGGAATGCTATTGCGAAGAATCTTTGCGTGAAACACTACTATTTGATTCTTATAATTGTAACTTCATTGTTTAACAGATGAGTAGTCATATTGACGTTGATGGTGACTGCCCACTGGCAATAGTACCATGTAAATATTTTGATATAGGATGCAAGTTTAAGGTATGTATCGATGATATTATTTATGACCTTTAAATCTACATTAATCCATCCGTCTTTTCATTTTATTTTTATTTTCAGACAAGACGTAATGAAATAGATCAACATTTAACAGATGCAGTTCAGACACATTTAGATTTGGCTCATTTACGTATTCGTGAACTGGAAACTAGACAAGAACAAGTTTGTATTGCCGGACGTTTTCTGTGGAAAATCTCGAACTATACTCAACTTTGTCAGCAATCTGCTACAAGAAAGGAAAAAGAGAAGCTTTGTAGTCCGCCATTTTATACAGGCGAGTATGGTTATAAACTACGTGCAGAAGCATTTCTTAATGGACTCGGTCAAGGAAAGGGAACACATCTTTCTCTGTATGTTGTCATATTGAAGGAGATCACGACGCTATATTATTATGGCCTTTTAAGCAAAAAGTAGATTTTGTGCTAGTTGATCAAGACAATGAAATCAACAATCGACAGAATAAGGTCTGGAGACTACAATGTGATCGGAATAGTGATTACTTTCAGAGACCAAACAAAACAAAGAGTCTTGGATTTGGTTGTCCGAAATTTGTTTCACTTGAAGCTTTAGCAAGTCGTAACTATATCCGAGATAATACAATATTTATAAGGATTGACGTAGAACCGTTTGATCCATTTTCAAAATGAACTTTGAAGGTAACATGAGGTTTGTGGTAAAGTCTCATAAGTTTTTCTAACAATACACTTTCAATTGTGGCTAACTTAAATAGCTTTCAAAGGACGGGAGAACCACGTCAGAGTAAAGGTTTAAGTATGTATTGTGAGGATATACAGTACATATCTCGTAATAAATCCTGTATGATCCATTTTGACTAGTATTTAACTATATAAATCATCGGAAAAACTACTATCTTGAAAGGTTTGTATGTATAGGAATGCTGCTTCGTGTGACGGATAGTACCAAAATGGTCAAAAAATTATCGCTTATATTCGGGTTTTTCGATAATTTCCGATGTTTTTTATTTTTGTGTAACTATATCTCTCATCTTTATTAGTCATAGCGATGATTTTTACCTTGTGCATTAATGCACTTGGTGCAGTAAAATCAAATTATCTTTTAACATTGAAGAAAGCGTTCTAAAATACAATCTTAGAAATATGAAATCGTTCTACATATATACATACAAACGCATAATACAAACGTCACATTACAACTAAAGTGTTTAAGTCTTTTTTTTTAAACCTGTTTCGTAAATAGTTTGTAAAAGACGACGTAAAAAGTTAGGAGCTTCATTACATTCAAATAAAATCTCGTCATGTAGGTAATCTGGAAATGAAGATTCAGTGCATTCCACTTGTAGCGGTCTATATACCACTTCGGCAAATTGAGGATCGTACAATAGGATAAACTGCATATTATCTATGAACAAAATGGAAAATTAGTAATTTATTATTCAATGTTCATCATGTATAGACTTTAAATAGTCTACCTGGAATGTGAGAAGCAGTCTTTACAGTACAACGATATTTTTCATCAATAGTTGAGTTTGAAAGTCTCTCAGTTCCATCGTCTGCCAACTTTTCCACTTTTATTCCGCAGAGTAAATTGTAAAAATCCAGGATTTCTTGTTGTGTCGTGATTATTTGCTGCATGTGAATAGCACAGAAATGACTTTGGTTTTATATTTTATATCATAGTTAAAAAGCACGACGTGTGTGATTAAACGTCTTTGATTTTATAACCCGTTTTTAGAATACTCAACTTCTATGAGATTGGTAAAATATCGTAGCGACTTCGTGCATTTGAAAATATATCACAAAAATCACACAGCCTGGCGTAAGTTTCCTAATCAAATTAGGTAGTCAACTATGATATCTACCTGATGTTCCTTGTATCTTGTTGTCTGGTCTTTATATTGTGTTTCTTTTTTCTCCCAAATTTCATCTAATTGTAGCATTTAAACATTAATTTAGACAAGCACTTGGTGCTAGGATGACAATATGAGGTATTTGTCTTTTTATTTACTAATTTAATTAACACTGCATTTTTCCTTGAATCCCCCGAAATCGTCTTATTTGAATAATAAGCAATAAGTATCAACCGTTATCCACGTCATTTGGTAAATCAAACGTTCATTATTTTTTTCATTTTCGAAATATAGTAATTTCTATCTCACCAATAACTGGTTATCTACTTTATGACCTAAATAAAATTTCTCTTTAATAAATCATGGGAAATGCAGTCTATTATATAGAACAAACGAAACCAACAAGAAGGCCAACAGACAAAAGTCACATTCTGTCTAAACAAACCTTTCATCTTCATATTTTTCAATTGGTTTTCATAGTTCAGTTTTTCTTGCTCCAACTCCATAATCCTACTATTCCTGTTTTCCAGCTTTTGTTCAAACAAGATTAATTCTTCTTGTTTATTACATAATTCACACTTTAACTCCTGAATGAATGATTCTCTGGCTATGAAAAAAAAAAAAATAAAGAAAAATATGGGCTAAATTAATTGTAAAACAGTCAAAAGCACAATTATGTACCAATAATGTGAAAGATTAAAAACAATACTTAAATTAAAAGCAATTATTATGAACTACATATGTACCTTCAATGAGATCTTCAAAATCATTTTGTGATAGTAAAAACTTTTCTTGTAGATCATTCATTGCATTCAAAAGTTGAAAATATTTTCTTTGGTAATCATCCTCAACGGTCTATTTCAAAACAAGAACAAAAATAGAAAAGGTGAGCCATAATAAATACTGTACTTTCAATTTTATAAACAATATTCACTTACGGTCATATGATCATCTGCTTGAGATGTGATTGGTTCTGGAGGATAGTCATTGGAAATTACGTCACTATTTTGTTGAGATGTGATTGGCTTTGGAGGACAGTCATTAGAAATTACATCATTATTTTGAGATGTGATTGACTCAGAATAGTCATTAGAAATTACACCATTATTTTGTTGAGATGTGATTGGCTCAGAATAGTCATTAGAAATTACATCATTATTATGTGGCAATAATTGATCATCATCACTTTTTTTCATGTTTTTCTCTTCAGCTATATTTTCACTTGAACTACCATTTTCTTTCAAAATTTTCTTTGATAAAGGTCCAATCTTCTCATGACCTACATTTGAATCTTCTTTCATTTGGGGTGAAGTACTGTCAGGTGGTTGAACTTTGCTTACTTTAGTGGACGTAGATGGTCTTTCATTATCAGGTGAAAGCAAGCAATCTTGAGGAAGGTTAGTTGATGCATTTTTTCTTTTCATCACTTGTTTCAAGAGAGATGAAACACTCACAACATTTTTACCCTTGCTCGTGGCAGCTTTTTCATTTGTTCGCAATTTCTTGTCAAACTCTTTGTTAAGTCTTCGTTGTTTTGGCTTACAAAAGAATTTTATTAATCTATTTATCACATAAAAGAGGCTGACTAAAAATATAATATATGTTAAAAGAGTTGCATCCATAAAATAAGCAGACCATCTTTAACAATGAGTATTATTTTTAAATTAAGACTTTTAAATCTTTAACTGTGGAGTAATAATGCCAATGATCGTAATGGTGCAGAAGCAGATTTAAAATTTCTAATTCAGTTGAATATTAAAAGTTCTGAACTGTAAAGGTTCTGGCTGTTTCCTTAATAAGTTACATAGAATAATAGTTTTACTTTTATCAGCAAAGTAACGAAGAAAATCTTAAAAAATATAATGCGTTGACCCTCGTATGCCAATTGCCAACCAGAATACAATAACAGGCCCAGAACAATTTGACAATGTCATGTCGACATTAGATGTAGATGAGATGATAAAAACATAAAGCAAAACACGCAACTACAAGAATTAAAATAATTTTTAAATAAAAAGACCCCAACAGCCAAACTGCTGCTGCACGTTTGACGGGGCAAAACGAAAGACGACCACCACCTTTAATACATGGCTACAAATGTCAAAGTCACAACCCACCTTTTTCCGACCATTTGGTATGCTAGGAGTATCTTCTTCGATACAAACATGTCTTTTTATTACATTATTTCTTCTTGTCTGCATAGGCATATTTCTTACATAGATAAATTACGTTTTACAAATAAGAAGATAGCATAGATACAAAATCAAATAAATTGACCGCCATTTTCTCTTATGCCTAAGTTTATGCGTAAAGTGTTTTGTCATTGGCTCATGCTTCATGTATAGTTTGAAAGATAAGCCAATCATATCACTCATTTGTAAAATTCAACCCTGCAAGTCGGTGGCCGACCAGATTTAAAAAGATGATTGTGTCTAAAATCTATTAATAGCAAAAGTTCATCTTTAAATAGTGGCTATGTCATTCAATGTCTGCAAATTTCAGTGAAAAGGTGTAAAGAGAGAGTTGTTAGTGTTTATGATTTTTCTTTTGCTTTTCTCATCTCTCAATTATAAATACCCATTCTTAGCTTTCGTTGCTGGTAGGTGTAAAGGAAAGAGATCTGGTACCTACCCAAGAAGTTGCATTTGCCAATGATCACCCATTTTTCAATTACAAGTATGGTTGATCAATGGTCATTGGTATATTTACATTTCAGATGAAATGTTATGTGATGTATGTATAGTTAGTTAATTTTTTTCATGTTGTTTTCTCTTCCGATTCTGGTAGCGTTGAAACTGTTAGAACGGATTTAAAAGTCAAGAAAGATGTGTTCGCAACTGCTGGTGAGACAGTCAAGACGGAGAATAGAATATTATCAAAGTCAGAAAGTGAAGAAGTAAGTAGTTTATCGCTTTGAAAGTCAACAGTATCACAAGTTTCTCTCTAAGAATAAGGCAAAGATTGGTGGTAGTGTTTATCTCAAAAGCCAGAATGTTCTGATCAAAAAATGCGTATGATTTCAATGCCGTCAACCTTGATTTTAATGCAAGAAATGTAAAACTTAAGGGTGCTCACTTAAATAGTTTCAGTTCTGAACAAAGTATTGCAATGAGTTTTAGTGTTATGAATCTTGACGTTACAAGCAAAAATGCGTTGACTAAAAAAAGGCAGTTATGAACCAAAAGATAAAAACAAGCCGAACAAAGTTTATTCGTTCTAGAAATGTAACGATAGATGCGGCAAACATCGATACTGGTACAGTAATTGGTGAAATAGATAAGCTTCAGATTTTATCACGACAAAATGAAATTGACATTGCAAGCGATACTGTAAGTGTTGGCTTCGATTATAAAGTGATTCCTAGCCGAATTGGTCGACTTCAAAAGCTCGAAAAGGGGAAATTTGTAGAAAAACAAGTGGTATTCATTCCCATCAAAATATAAATAAAAATAGTTTTAAGGTTGGTTCACTTTATTTGCGAGATTCAACATTCACAGCAAATGGAGACATAGCTAAGTTTGCGAAAATTTCATTATCGATAAAATTATAAGCTCTTATACACAAGAGCAATCAGGCTTCAGTTTCGATGCAAGTAAGAAACGCATTCAATTTGGAATACAGCAACATAAAACAAGTTGAAATGAAACAATCTGGTGTAATTGCTTTATTTGATGGAACAGTCTCGGTTGAAATCAAACAGTCCATTAATAGTGATTTTTCTGCGCAGTACAAAATCACAAGATCACAAAGTTCTAGTAAAGCATTCAATATAAATGCAGGAAAAGACGGATTTGCTGCTTCGTTTGAAACTGATGAAAAAAGCGCTGGAATTTCTGCTTTATAAAATGAAGTCGGAGGCAATCTTCGTATACGCGACAAAGCTCTCAGTGTTTCTGGGGGGAAACATGGTGGATCGCTATCAATAGAAAATGGTGAAAGTAGCCTAGGACTGGAAATTGATAATAAAGGTGTTGATGTAAGCATTCAATACGGTAACACAACCATTGCAGCTTCAGTCAAAGAAAACTTGATATCAGGTAAGGTTAAGTCGAAAGATTTTTTCATTGAAGGAACAACTATTCATGGAGCAACTGAGATGACAACAAAGAAAGCAGATTTTAAATGTGGCCTAACAGTAATTAAGGAAAGTGATTCTACTTCTTCAAAGACTCAGCATAAATCACACATAAAATATCGTGAAGTGGAAATGACAACGTCATCTATAGTTAAGACAAGTACTCTTAGACTACATGGTTTTGAAACAGAATTCTCTGTGGAAGATGATAAAAACGATAACAGTACATTTAAGTATACGATGACAAGAAATTACAACTTTCGTCCTCAGATCAGAAAGAAAAGTCACTTACGTATGAATCAAAGGACATGGAATGTAGTTTTAGCAGAGAAACAAGCACTACTGGTAAAAACCCAAAATACGACGGTAAAGTGAAGCTTGGTGACAAAAATTAAAACTTTCGTCATCAGATCAGAAAGAAAAGTCACTTACGTATGAATCAAAGGACATGGAATGTAGTTTTAGCAGAGAAACAAGCACTACTGGTAAAAACCTAAAATACGATGGTAAAGTGAAGCATGGTGACAAAATTTAAAACTTTCGTCATCAGATCAAAAGAATGTACTTGTATATGAATCAAAGGACTTGGAATGTAGCTCTTGCAGAGAAACAAGCACTACTGGTAAAAACCCAAAATATGATGGTAAATTGAAGCATGGTGACAAGAAATTGGAACTTTCATCGTCAGATAAAAAGAACTCACTCGTGTTTGGATCAACGAACATGAAATGTAGCTAGCAGACCAAAAAGAACTACTTATATTAATCCAAAATACTAGGCTTTGTATGTATGCAAATACAAAAGACCAGCTTTGAATGAGCAAGCGAAAGTTCATTGCAGGTGAATATTTTGATAAAATTGTCAGCGAATAGGAACCATTCACAAACTAGAGAAGATGACAATTTAATTTTTAACTTGTAATTCATCGTTTTTTAATTATTCTTAATCTATGTTTAATTGAACATGTAGCACAACAATAAAGATCAGCATTTTAGCTATAAGCTTCAACTTCAAATGAACTTCGTGATCACTAATTGTTTTAACACTCGACTTCATGGATAACAAAATATTGCATATATAGAATAAAAGTTTATTGTGACTGTGTGGGCAGTTGGGCGGCCAAACCAAACACTTTAGCAGCGTTTTCAGTCGTTATACGGGCAACTTCCTTTGCGTCTCTTCCCATGCATTTTGCAATCGTCTTTACTATGACAGGAAGTGTGCATGGTTCATTACGACCTTCACGACATCTCATCAATAACATACGACTTGTTTCATCCAATTGTGAAAGAGGAAGATTTGGAACCATGTAGGGAGCATCTGTTTGAATTATGATTTTCTCAAGTGGAAGAGTTTCATCCTTAATTGCTTCACGAATTTGTCGACTTCTTGTTTCTTAATAGAAGACAAGAATTTTCCATGTATTCTTATGAGTTTGACGTCTACTAAACATATGTCATTTACATTCAGTATAGACAGTGCCACAATACACACCTTTACATATGAAACCTGTAATGCCAATATAGAAGCCCATATCAACATAAGTTTTGATCTCATCTTTGGTACCAGTAAAGCAATGAATGACAACTATGCAAATGATTACGATGACGATTTATTACTTCCATAAATCTAGTGTGGGCTTCTCTCTCATGGGCAAGCAGAGTTTTCTTGCATTTGCATGCAACTAAAAGCTAAAACATTGTTTCATAAATTCAGCAGTTATAAAAATGTATTAGTTGTGCAAAATAACAAGCAACTCTGTGGGATTTGCAAGTAAAATGACTAGTCCGCTCTGACTCTTACTGTGAATTCAACTTACCTGCTTTTCAAATACACTTTCTTGAATTTCTGGTGGTGAGTAATTTCTGTTGAGATCAAGGCCAACCTCACCAACAGCCACAACTTCAGGAAGCTCAACAAGTTCTTCCAACTCCTACCAAAAAAACATATATGATACCTCTTCACCATAAACGATTTAAATGATTCATGTTTTTTAATTGGACATTTATGGTACCATTTGAATTCAATAGAGACTTATTGCAACAAAAAATTATACTTCCAGCATTAATCATGAAATAGTGTTACAAAGTTTAACCTTGAAAGAATTATCATTCCATTCCTTTTGGGACCAATGTGGATGAACGCCTACAGCTGCATAAAGAAATCCTGGACGTGATTTACTCAATGTAACAGCAACTCGACTTTTCTTAAGTGTGTTACCAGTAACAACCATTTTATATATACCAGCACTTAGAGCTCGAGCAATTACATAATCTCTATCATTGGCAAACCTATAAGTTAAATTGACTGAATGAGAACCGGGACTTAGCTGAAACTCATACCTAGTTGAAAAATATTTTATAACAAGAGAATTAAAAACACAGTTAGAATACAATGGCAGTACTACATGTGCAGTTGTGACTGGTCAAAGTAAATCCTTACTTAGCAGGCAAAGGTTAGCACTCACATTTGATTGGTTAAATTGACAACATCAATGGCATGTAACAAATCATTTGGTGGAACAACAAGTGGTTTAAGGAACTGTCCATTTTGGTCATAATTGTCATGATTAAAGGTATAATTAAATGATCTTCTTTGATTTGGATTTCTATGGTGTAATCGACCATTAAATCGTTGGCCTTGTGATTGAAAAGAAGTCTTGTCTTTTGCTAACTCTACTTTGATTTTGTTATTGTTCAGTTCTGTTCCATCAAAACCAATGACATGTTCACCAAAAGCTTCTGGTACAATAAGGAAAGCAAATCCCTTACGAGAAGGTAATTCTATTTTTATGGCTGATTTGAGAAATGGTGTTGCATCTAATGCAAAATGTTGGGTAATATCTTCTTTTGTCACATCATGGGGAAGATTTCCTTTGACAAGAGAATGAAGGTGTGATATTATTACATTTATACAAACTCTATCCATTTGGCACTTCTAATTTTTTAGTGCACAGTATAAGACAAACCATTAAAGAACTTCTTCCCAGGCCCCTGCCATCTTGTAAGGGTTAAGATGCTGGTCATATATACTGATACAGTAATTGGTATCTTGTTGATAACCACTTTAAACTTTAAAGGTTATGCTATGTTTATGTTAATACAAAATATCATTTAAACAAGGGACGATAATTCACGATCTGTATTAATCAAGAGAGAAGATTAAAGTAAAACTGGATGTTTAATTCCTTATAATTCAACAAACACTAAGACACATACCAATGTAAATTTTCTTATTGGCGACTGAGGCTGCTTGTTGAGAAACTTCAAGCATTATATCTCATCAAAAGATTTCACTTTATTGAAAACATCCACATATGAAAAGAATATTGAACACAGATAATTAACTATAATCAAAAAAATTTCTATGGCTTTACTTCTTCCTTCGTTCGACTTTCTAATTTTTCACCTTTAGCATTTACCAACTAAACCTAATAACACTGTATTCACCCGATCTTCTTCCGACCTCTTCCGATAACTTTTGCTGTACACTTGAGCATGTAAGTTCTTTCGGACAGTGAATAAATTCATTGAAATTATTACGTCATGTTAGCGTGTAAAACCTTGTAACTAACAGAAAATAAAATCAACGTTATATAATGCCACTGATTAATTTTAAACACATCGTCTCATTTTCTAGCGAGGATCCGGTATGTAATATTTTACTTGATGATATGAAAGAGCTTAGTTAAGTTGACCTTTAGTGATATCTGCTACGTGGGTGTAGTTTATAGCTTATGGCACCATCTAACCATCTCTAACTAACTGGGAATTGTTTTGGTAGTAATGGAAATACATGGTTGGTTAATGAGTTGGCTCACTAATGTCAGATATTTAGTACTAATTTCAGATAAAAAGACACGGCCTTTATTTAAATATCAGAATAATTATTAGATATAAGACAGTAAGGTTTTTGGTTGATTTACATAGTCATTTCCTGCTGATAATTTATTAAAACCTGATACCTATCGCAAATGGCAATGTTTGGATGCTAATGAAAAACAGGCATCTGTGGTTATTGAGGTATGTATGTATACCTTAACTGTTGGTTTTCATTTTACCATAACATTAATTTATATATTCATAATGATAGTTTCATATCTTTACATATCTGTTAATGATTTTATAGTTAGCCAAAGCATCCAAGATAAATTCATTGGATATTGGTATGCTATCATACTCTGCGTACACTTAATCTGAAAACATACCCAAATGACCAATCCGTGAATTTTTGTTTTAATTTTGTCAGGCTTTTGCTTATCTTGAAAATTTGAATTTAAAAATGACATGCCAAATTTTTACAATTTCTTTATGCTTACGTATATTTTCAAAAAAGCATTTAAATCATGGTATTTGGCAGTTGATTATGTGTTATCAGATTCAGTTGTCTCTCCATTACCCATGCTTTCATATTTTGTTGTTAAACTTTTTATTTTATTGTGGCTTTAGGAAACAACGGTTCAGCATTTGTTGAAGTTCTTGTTGGTAGATCATCTGGAAATGATTACCAGGTATTCAAAAGCATTTTTACTTTACGTACTGTACATAGCAATATTGTTGTCTACAAATTCATATGTTTTCTGTTATTTTTCAACAAAATTCAAAACATTATCATCATTCTTTTCTTATCAAACAATTAGGAAAGTTAATAGTGATTCACATAAGTACAGCCTATGGATAAGTTGTTAGTTAATTGACATTGTGTGTATCAACAGGGATTAATTAGGAGGTGCATCATTAATGATTTCATTGCAAATAGTTCCCTGTCTATGCTTAACTGACGATCATTAACATTTTAATTACCTTGTGACATTAAACATGCATTTCTTTTAGCATAAATCTAAGGAATTTGTATTTTTATCTACAGGTATTGCTTGTTGCATCTTCCTTCATGAGTCCTGCAGAAAGCAAATCAGGGACAAATGATACTAGAGTTCGAATGTTTGGTACAACTTTCTTATATATTTTCCAATGCTTCATTTACACCATTGTTCAAACCTTATTCTCATCACTAGTTGTAATCATACATGGGGATGGTAAATCTTGAGTTCTGTGTCAAATGTAGTAGTTTTCATTTTAAATATCTTTTGTTATATGATGTATGTGTATTTATTGCAGGCTTAGACAAGTTATCCAAATCAATTGCTGAACAAAAATGGGATCGTATAAAAGTAGTATGCACTCAACCTTACAATCAGGTTGGAATAACTTGAACGATGCTGATATAACACTTTGTATTTTAATTTGAAGAAAAATTTAGACGCCTATGTATTTTATTTCGGTAAAAAAATTTAGACCAGGTGTTATGGTCTATCATTTGTTAACCTTCATACTGCAGAAAATATTGAGAAAGATGCAACACAAGAAAAGGTACTCAATCATACTCCATGTATTACACACTTTTCAACAATCTTTTCAAAAACGTTTTGTTGAATTTTCTCACGTATGTATGTAGTAACAACATAAGTAAATAGTTTTCTTTCTCTCATTTTAAGACGCAAATAAGACTGGGCTCGTTTCTTTTAAAAGATGAACAACCTGAAACAATCAAATCGGGAAGTCTTTTTGCGAAACGTAAGAATAAAACTGAAGGAATTACAACACCGGTTATAACGACTGCTGCTGAAATAAAAGACACGTCTAAACAGACGACTACTCCAAGACCGTCGTTGCCAATACTAAAATCGACACAACAAAAGGTCTGGGTTCTAATATTCTTGTAACGAAACTGTCATGTTTACGATGTGTCCATTGAAACGAATGAACCTGATTTTCAAATGATTCTGCCATCAGTAAAACCATCACTCGTAAAATGATAATACAACTAACACGTTAAATTGCATACGAAAGCAATTTTTATAAGGTTGCAATGTAACCATTATAAACGTGTATCATATTATAGTCATTTGATCTAAAGAGAAAAGCTAATTCAACATCTCCTGAACCTCAGTCTAAAGCATCAAAGGTAATAATGAGCAAAGTTTGTCACACATCGACCTGACGTGTTGGGTTACACTTTTTGAACTCTTTATTTGTTCTATATAGTTCCTACATACCGATAGAAGTGGAGAGTCATCGAAGAATCATAAAGGTTGGCATCATTGTAGAAGTGGACGATGTATTTATTAATTTGTTTGTATGTTTTACTCTTGTTTGAAATTATAGAGACGGTAAAAAATGACAAGCAAAAATTCTCTGTTGATAAAATATTGGTAAGAAGTTTGACTATGTTTACTATTGTTATTGAAGTTACCATGAGTATCTGATAGTTATTCAAGTTACTCCAAAAGTCTGGTTCGTAGTCGTTCTTGAAACTTACTCCTGGTATCTCGTAGTACATAGTTTGTTCAAGTTACTTCTTGTGTCTCGTAGTATAATTTAGTTAATTTTAGTATGTCTTCATTTCATCGTTTTCTCTTAAAGCATGTATGACTCCCCTGAACTAGAAGTTTTATTTCTTTGCCTATTATGGTTTTCATTTTACCTACGTTTGGTTGTAGATGAGGTTATTTCAACTTATTTGTCAGAGATTTATTGGTGATTTTCCCCCTGCTTTAGAAGGAGGTTGTGTTCGTACTCAGCGGTTTTAAAAATCCTCAACGTGGACGTCTACGAGACAAAGCTTTATCTATGGGTGCTCGATATTGTGGAGACTGGGGCCAAACATGTACTCATCTTATGTAAGATTTGGGATTGATTTAGAATAAACAATCTTTTCATGATTTGGGATTGATTTAGAATAAATAATCTTTTCACATCTCGCATGTTCGGCTTGAATAGTTAATAGAAGGATCACATGAAATCTTAACAAAGATCGAATCGTTTTTATTTGTCTTAACTCGGTAATTTTAAATGGAACGATCAAATTATTTTGTCTGTGGATTTTAGATGTGCATTCATAAACACACCCAAATATTGTCAAGTTAAAGGTAAATAGTTATTACAAGAATCGTGTATTTATTTGTTAGCTGATCTTGTTGTTTGAAAATTAATGTTTTCATTTTTTTGTTTTTACATTAATGTTATTTCTGACCTCATACAGCATCGGGAAAAGGAAAAATTGTGTCAGAAAAATGGATAAATGATTGTTTTGTAAAGACAACGACTTCCCGAAAGAAGGTGGTGTTTTTGGCTATATTGATGTGTACGAAAAATTACTTTTTGATTTATAATTTAATATTTACGAGAGCATATACATTTGTCACTCAGTGTGAAAATTCCCTATAATTATATTATACGATCACACGCAAATTGCTTAAGCAGTAAAATTTCAAGGAGTTTTGAGTTCATCCAATTTCACAAATGTTTTTGTTGTACATTAACTGTTTAGTAAAAGGATGTTTGCATACTTTACTGTTACTTTTAGGCAGCATAGTGCATTCTAGCCGTTGCTCCATCTGTTTTTTTACTACTTTTCTAATAGATATCGTTTGAAGGGAGACGACGATGATTATGGAAGTAGTACAGACGAGGAGGACATTGAATCAAAAAGAGAAAAAAATTCTAAAAAAAATAACGAAAAATCTGCCAATGACGTTATTAGTTTAGCAAATGCAGAGGTTGGTAACTCAAGCGAAAATTGTTATTTAGGATATTTTAAATCGTCGTTTGATTAATGCTATACAGGATGTATGAAAAAAAAGAAGACCTTGAGGTATTAAACTACTGTGAAATTTCATTACCTGATCATTGTATACAAATTCTACTGGTGCATTTCTATGCATGTTTTGCTGTGAGAAGTTATGCTGAATTCCCAGGAACAGAAAGGTTTTTGTGTACTATTTCCACGCATTTAACATTATACTTTATGCTCTCGCAGGCTTAGAATTTAGTGATGAACATTGAAAGTATCACAATACGTCAATTTCTTAAGGTGTTCTCATTTTTGATACACTCTGTATAACGAATCTTTTCATGTAATGAATATTTCTCATATTTATTTTATAAAAAGTACAGTTGAAATGGTGCGCGCACATTGTTAGACTTTAGTCTTCGCTTTTATCATTCTTTTCATCATTCTGTATGAAAATTTCATTACTCTCTCGGACATTCTACTCGTTGTTTATACTAGTTGCATTGTCCAAGTGGTTGTTAATGTATTAAGGAAATGGACAAACGAGCTATTTTGATCTTGGTGGAAATGCTATATTTACGTAGTACTATACATAGTTGTGTACATTTAGAGAGAAAGTAATGATAATTTTGGATACATCAAACTAAGCCAACATTTCCTAATCTTCTAGGTAGCATCATATGGTAGAGATTCGTCTGAAACTACTAACATTTCATCTACAAAAACGTCTTCAGGTGATGAGTATTTCAATGTTTTCAATGTATTTTTAATTTACTATAGCGTGTTATAAAAACCATTGTTTTACTGTCGCTAATCACGTGATATATCTTGGTGACCAATCATATTTATGCTAGCAAACTATTCATTAATTTCAGTAGCGAACGAGCCTAACCCACGTCAAAATCTTAAGAATATTGAAATAGATTCAATGCAAAACACTGAAATAATAGAGGATGAAGAATTTGTGAAAAATAGGTAATAAAAAATTTTGTTGTCTTTGCCATCATATTGCATGGTATTACGTGTGTTAATGAAATTTAATAATCTTGTTGCAGTTTACCGAATGATGATGATGATGATGATTTGTATAATTGTTCCACGGAGTGTGAATCTGATGATGAAGATGATGAAAAAAAACCGACGATTGAATGTAAAACAACTGGTATCTTTATGAAAACATGCATGTATCTTGTTTGATTTATTTTCATACATGAAAGGCCTCCTCCTCTCTCTCACCTAGTGTCTACTATCGAGTTTTACTATGTTACTTAGTTATTTATCTTTTTACAAAACTGTTGTAAAAAGAAATGTTTGGTTTATTCTGACTTCCCTCTCTTCCCCTGCCTTGGTCACCATCGAGAATTGGGGTGAAATATTCATATATCCATGTTATAATTCACAGAAAACGATCGATTTCATATGAATACGATTCGGCAGAGTATGAATATGTGAATACTGCCCCACCCCCAAAAAAAAAAAATGATTGAGCTGGCTACGTCACTGATTACTTGTCAAAGTCAACACAGCCATGATCGTAGCAAGATTGATAATTGGGAGGGACTCAACCATGATCGTAGCAAGATTGATAATTGGGGGGGGGGCTCAACCATGAACGTAGCAAGATTGATAATTGGGGGCTTAACCATGAACGTAGCAAGATCGATAATTGGGGGCTTAACCATGAACGTAGCAAGATCGTAGCAAGATCGATAATTAGGGGGCTCAACCATGGACGTAGGAAGATTGATAAATGAGGGGCTCAACCATGAATGTAGGAAGATTGATAATCGAGGGGGCTCAACCATGTACGTAGGAAGTTTAATAATTGGAGGGGGGCTCCTTTTCATGTATGCATGATGTACAGTATTAAATTGGTTTGAAATATATTGTTTTCAACGGATTATAACTTGCTTACAAGCTACAAGTAAATGATTTTGTTGATTCGCATATTCTTTTATTTGTATTGGATATAACTTGTAATTATTTTTTTCAGACGAGAAAATGTCTTTCCCAAGCCCAACAGTGGATTATCTTAACCTGCCAAGTTTCTTTACAAACATGACTTTTTTCTTGTATGGAGATTTTGAGGCAAAAGAAAGAAGATTGTTGTATCGTTATATTACAGCATACAATGGGTAAGAATCAGCTTTATTAAAATGATTCTTGGTTTTTTGTTTATTTAATGCAGTGTTTGCATCAATAAATTATTCTCGCAATTGGTTTATCAAAATCGTCTACACTTACCAACATTGATGCTATCCATAGCGATGGGTTATTATTCAACTTTTATCGTCAGGCTAGACGGGGAAAAGATCAAGTGTTATTATGATAATTTTGGAAAACTCGACGTTTAAAATTAGATTTTTTGGCTAAAATATTTGTCTGCGATTTTTGATTGGTCAAACGATTTTTTCACTTTTGAGGATCATTCAGATTGTTTTTAAACATAGATGGCTGCGACTCTTAAATTTTTGACAATATAATTGCTCGAGCTTCACTTGTAGACGAGAACACAACGTCACTGCGTATTTATTCTAATTAGGATTTCTTCGTTTGAATGACATTGAGTTGATTTTGTCAGCATTTTGTTTTCTGATTGGATTTTTTTATCTCTATGTTTAAAGAGAACTAGAAGAATATATGAGTGATAATGTCAAGTTTGTTGTGACGAAAGATGAATGGGATGGCAACTTTAATGAGGTATTAGGTCATAATGTGAAGCAACATTACACATCATTATACAATTGTACATATATTGGAACATTTGCTGAATGTATCTGCTTGTAATACGTAGATTGACAGCTAAAATTGTGAAAATGAATTTTCATTTGTTGTAGTTCTCTTTATTCATCTGTAAACCAAATTCAGCTTGTCCTTGGTGATGTAGTTTGTATCACTTTAACGATTTCCCTCGTTTTTCTTGTTTCTAGGCTTTAATTGAAAATAGTTCATTGACATTTGTGAGACCAAAATGGATTTATTCTTGTCACGAGAAACGTACAATTGTTCCTTTCCAACCTTATATTGTTGTTCCACAATAGAGATGAGAATTTTTATCAATTCTATGTTTATTTTGCAGCCACTATGAGTTGTTAGACTTTAAAAAATACTCATAGGAATTATAAAGAATAATGTTTTGACTTCATTTTGCAAGGCGTATAGGCAAGCTTCATAAAGGGAGGAGGTACTGTATCCAACGATTTTTCAGCAGCATCGTTTTATTCATGATTATCATGTCTGTTGATACTTTACCATTTCTTTTTCTTCAAATGGTGGTATACCACGAATAATACAATATCCCTACAGGCATTTATTACTGTTATAACATTTTATCTGTGTGCTTTAAAGAATCGGTTTGCTGGCACGAGACACTTTAAAAGGAAACAATATTGCAAACCCAACTGAAACAAGAATATGCAACTATTTAAGACTCCGATTCATGAAAAACGACATTTTTTGTAATTCTGTTGACCATGTTGCCTTTGGCTGTCAAACTTGATGACTACCTTCTTTGGAGGCAGGATAATTGGATTAATAGCTCTTTGACAAAGCTGTATGTTCACTTTAAACTGTGAGATAATTTTGCTTTTAGATAAACATGAAAAGTTCTAACAATCGAACATTTATGGCTTTGTCATGTTCGTTAGGTTTTTATATCGTGTCAAATACATAGATGACTTCTTGTGAATTGCTATAAGAAATATAACAGTTTATTGAGAAATATACGAGTTCACTACGAATAGTTCCTAAAAAAGTGTTTACTGTTTGCTAAATGATAACCTTAACCTGACCATCAAGGCAAACGCCTCGATTTTTTAACCATTGCCAAACATGATAGCTATGTGATTTGCAATTCGATAACGAAATAATGATTGAGTTAAGATATGAGTGCGTGTTCAAACCTGACTGTAATTTTAGATTGTTGAGTACATTATGACCTTGACGGGGATTATTTGACGTACCTTCTATAATGCCCGTCATAATTACACAACACATTGAGATCAGCTATAAAATTATCATATCGTACTCTTGATCAACTCCCGGCGCAACAGTGTAACAGGTATCAAGTGTTAAGTTATCAACACGCTTTTACATCTGGGACCGGTTGCACGAAGCTTGGATAGCGTTATCCAATGGATAGCAAACTTTTTAAAGTTGTAAAAAAGGTGTTTATATTTTCGTTACGACAAAGAAATTTTGTAATCTTAGGCGCAATATTTTATTTCAGTGTTTGCTCAGTTCAAACCTTATATTTTTCCTTTTTAAGAAGTGTTTAACCGTTTGAAAATATCCAATGGATAACGCTATCCATGCTTCGTGCAACCGGCTCCATGTATCTATAATAACAATGCCAGTGATGCTTTGAGTTTACTGCAGCCTACCTAGTCATCCTATCTTTCCATTTTGACATGTTTTACGCACATTTTAATGTAGGCTCAATATGACGTTCAATATGCGACTTTATAAGATATGATATTGTAATCGCATGGTATTATAAAATATTGTTTGATAAAGTCAGATGTTTTATTTCGTCTTTCGTGTGAAAATCAAATTCAACGTTCAACCGGCACGATTTTCAGGTAAAGTACCACAAAGTTTCCTAAATTTATGTAACCTCGGTAAATACCATGTATGCACTTATGAAGAGGTAGTAAGAATTTGAAGTGAAGTGAAATTGAAGTTTCGACTTTATCGACAGCATTTCAACGTGTCTCACTCGTGGTCTCATTTTATTTTAAATCTCAAATTACCGGTATGGGAGTTGAAATACTGTACTATAATATAGAGAATTTTATCATGTCTCATGCTGTTGGTATCGTGTAAGACCCCGCCGTGTCAAAATAGTTCCAATAGTGCGACAATACAAACACTCGATACAACGGTTTTTTATTCCACTTGCCATTAATCTTTGTTTGCAAGGAAGGAAATTATTTTATTCCTACCTTATTTAATTGCATGCTTATTTATATGTTGTGAAGTTTTACGTCTTTCTCTATCAAATTTTCAAAAATAATGTATTTTCCGTTCCGTTAGCTAGAAGGTGCAACAGCCGTTATGTATTGACGTATTCAGCCCCGGGGAATTACATCATGCGAAGTAATTCTACGGTCAGGACAGCTTGCTTGTTAACACACGTGAGATTAATTACGACCTTGCTAACCAAATATTGTTAGAAGCATGCCCTTTCAAGTTTCTTCACATGCAATATTTTTTTAAATGTCGTATTTTTGGTTGATTACCACCTTGATTACTAGCTACGTTGTCAAAATAACTTTTGCGAGTAATTCTTGTAAGTTTTTTCTTACTCGAATTCTGAAGGGGGAATGTGCAAGCCAATAAATAATTTTTATCTAGAATATAGTGACTTAAGCGTAATTTGAGAAGGTCAATAACTGCACAAGAAAGAACATATTCTCGAAACTCTATTAAAGCATGATATTTCATAATTTCTCTTTGTAGAATGTAAGAGATTAGTTGATAAAACAAAAGACTAAGTTTAATGGTTCCTTAAATAAATATCAGATAAACATGCATCGTTTACTTTGGAATCAAATGTGAAAACATGTGATGTACAAGTGCTTTGCCGCCCAATTCAAACTAACAGGAAATTAGATTAAAGTGAATATGAAAATGCTCAAATATAAACACTTGAACAACGAATGAAATAAAGAACATTTTCATTTTTCATTTCTGATTATTGTAAACTTTAGATTTCTGATCATTTCTCTCCTGACGCTTTGACGAGCTTAAAGAGATTGTTGGTTCAAACGCTTCAAGGCCATGACCTTAACGTTATTTGAAATAAGACTTTAGTACAATTAGAAAATATCATATTTCACATTCTATTGGAAACAAGTGACAACTTGAAGTCGTGTTCCAACCTGAAGTTTTTCTCTCGCAGAAAAGCATTGTAGTCTCTGGAGGGGAGTGAGGAAGTTCATTTTCAAAAGAATTTTGCTTCAAGGATGAACATAAAACTGCATGTATTTACAACGGATGTAAATACAAAATAAATTGTGTTTACTTATGTTTCGCCTCAGTACAAGTGTTTAGTTGGTTAGAACGGTTTGACGCGCACATTTGTTCGTCGGAGTGAAACAATATTTCCAGCGCTGTCTACACATAACGGTGAATATAAAAGCAAGTATTTTGTCACGATTGAACTCATTACAAATCCTCACAAAATTAAGTAACTGCACTTCTGGTCCAAAATGCCCAAATCATTTCTGGTGAAACAAAAGAAGATGTCTAAACAGTTGAAAGAAGACAATCTCTGATGAAGGTAACAAAGTTATTCTTTAAATTATACGTTAAGTTTGTACTGTTTTCACATTAAAAATTTTGGTGGATGGTCCTTGTTAACTACCGTTATCACGATGACACTAAAACACTTAACAAACCCGCTGCATAACGGTTAAATTTACACATTTACATATGTTAATCGTCTATTTTAAAAGAGCATTCAACTAAGGAAGCTTATTTATCTCTGATAAAATTATTTGATAGATTGCATGACTTTATGAATGCAATATCACTGTTATCACATGCAACAACTGTGTAAACTTTCCCCGCACGTAAAGCATTCATCGCCGCTAAATGGCGCGATGGTCACGCGAAAAAAATATATGATTTGTCACGAGATGAACTTAGTTATGTTTCCACAAAAACATTTGCGCAAATTGTCTTTATATAACAGGATTCATGTTTTATTAGTTACATTAAGATGCTGTTAAAGCGAAGTTTTTTAGGGTAGAGTTTACACTTTACAGCAGGATACACGAAATCATGGATGTCCATTATTAAATAGTGATATGGTTATAACTGGGAATACACAAAATTCAAAGCTCATCTTTTTTAGAATTGTTCCTAAAGTTAATTATCGTAACTTTTTGAATGTATCAAAGCTTATAATCATCTGTACAATGTCATTCAATTCAAAAATGATATAATAACCAAAGTATTCAAATTTCCGATAAAGCTGCAAATCAAATTTCTTGTTGAGTTTGGAATCGAACATTGTTTGAGGGCTTCTATTCACTTTCCGTAAAATGTTTTTGGACTAATTATCAAGTTATCTAAATTGAATGGCTTATGAGTTAGCTTCAAAAATGAATACACATCAACAATAACCTTTCAAATTATGTAGCTAGGTTTCTTTTTGCGTGAACAAACACGAACAAATAAAAAGATTAGTGTTACCAGTTATGTACTTTGGACTACATGACTCATCACAAGTCTCAGAGATACCTTACTGCGAAAAGGTCATAAATTAATAAAACGGCAAAAAAATTATGTATAAAGAGTTCGTCACCTCCAACAATACACGATGTTTTGTTTATGACAAGACAAAGATTAGAGCATAAATGAAACCGTATTTGACTGGACAGGAAACTTTACCCGGGAAAAGCACATTTGCCATAATTATATACTTCCTATTAGACAATAGTTATCATTTGCCAGTCATTAACTTGATAACGGGCCAAATCGAAGCAAGATATTCAGCACACTTTACTTACATTTATTCAAACACTCAATTTGTGAAAAAGGGTCAATTGATCGATGGGTCGATCAATTGATATTTATTTGTGAAGAAGCGAGGAACGTTATTTTGCTTAATCTCTGAGATATTCATTCGTTTGTCGTTGAAATATTTCTTTTTCACATTTTCTTTCACTGAAATTATGTAATCTCAGGTTTATTTTATCTTGTTTTCTTCTTTGCCATCAAAATTATCAAAAGTGCTTATGGAATTTTTTTTGCCTTTTCACATTCTGTTTTTGCCCAGACACGTCGCATTGTTTAGGTATTAGTTTTCATATTATAATAAAAACAAACAAAATGTGTTTCATTTTCGGTAAAATTACTCACTTAAACCTGTTTAAAGAATTGAAAAATTAGAATTGATTGTACATGTATTTTTATAACGCATTTATTATTCAGACAATAGTACGCGTTAATAAAAAAATTTATATATGTAGTAGCTAAATTCCCATATTATATCAACAAAATTAATTTGATCGTTCATGGCACAACAAAAATTTATTCATGGAAATGTTCTAATCAAATGAACATCTCGTAATACAAAAGTGATACCAGCAAAGAAATATTCCAAGGCCGCTACGCGTAATTTTGTTAAACGCAAAAAATAGCAACGTCCTTGTGTAAAAACTTGTTCATAATTTTAACAAATTTTTTTACATTATGACTGTTTCAAACGCTAAGAATTTCATGTGTCAAGCGTCTTGGAAATAAAAAATCCTCAAGTCACAATTTTGTCTTTTATACATTGTGCTCATTAGAAGTTGAATGGTCGAAACGGATAAAAGTTTTAAATATCCACATATTTTCTGCAAGTTTAATCATTAATCAACCGCATGAATATAATTTTAGATGCCAACGAGATTAAAACGGAGACTGTATCAACTTCTGAAAAAGAAGATAGAATCAACACTAACTCGAATGCTCACATGAAAACACTTAAACCCGATGAAGTCACTGAAACACCTCTTTCTATTATTTCCAATTCACATCCACCTCTACACGTTTTTCCTGCTGCAGCTCGACCAATCTACGTTTTTTCAAATCAAGGACCAATCAGAAGTGATCACATGACAGCACCAATTCCAGTTCCGTTTGTCCATCCAAGTTTTTGCTATACCCCTTTTATCCCCTATGATGCCTTGCTACCATCACAAACTTTACCAAAAGAGCAAATACCTCCAGTAAACAATCTTATTACTCCGCACAATCTTATTCACAACGGAAAAACAGATATGTGCACACGGCCCCTTGCTGTCAGTACGAACACCGTCTCCTCGATAAAACCTGCTGCAACACCAAAAATTTTACAACAACATCTTGTTATAGAAAAGGGTAAAGAAAAGAAATACGAATGTCATGTTTGTAAAAGTACGTTTTCTTTACAAAGATTATTGAATCGTCACTTAAATACTCATTCATTTCACAAACGTTATCAATGCTCGTATTGCGATAAAGGTTTTAATGACACTTTTGATTTGAAACGACATGTTCGAACACACACTGGTATAAAACCATTCAAGTGTAATTTATGCGATAAGGCTTTTACACAGCGCTGCTCATTGGAGGCTCATAAAACACGTGTTCACGGCGTGATCTATCAATATGGTTTCCGAGAACGTCGGGCCAAGCTTTTTGTCTGTGAAGATTGTGGCGAAACTTTTCAAGACAGTGGGGATTACATGAAACATTTACAAGACAAACATCCAGAATCCGCTACCAAAACTAGATTTAAGCGAAGTTATTCGTCAAAAATCACGAAAGTGAGACAAATCGAAATGGAAACTAATTAGAATAATTATGAAAATGCAAATTTACTATTAATACGTAAATTCGTTAAAAAATTTTGTTATTAGTATTTAATCATAAACATTGCGTGATTACTTTCAGGAATTTTTTGCCGTTATTATAAAATACTGACAGTCCAGCAAAGTTTTAGCTGATTTCAGATTCCTGTGTATCGTTACAATGAAGCATGAAAATCTAAATTTATGTCATACTTTGTTTATATTCATAAAATCAATGGCTAAGATAAATAAAAATATTAAAGTTCAACTGTACTTTGCTCGATCGATTGTTGACTTTTTTCTCAACTCTATAACTTTATTCTCTACTCTCGATTTTTTTCTTGATTTTAAACTTGATGATAGACTCTCCAAATTCCTTCTCGACTATAAAACTTTGCTCTCCACTGCTACTGTTATTCTCGAATTAAATCGAGAAACGATCGTGTACAAGACAGTGCTATTTAACTGGATTGAGAAATCCAAGTGTGTTATCCATAGAGTGTTTTTCATTCATTCATTAAAAGATAAATTCTGTTCAAAATGAAATGAAATCCCACCCACTTTTTAAATCTCTTGGTTTTAGAGATAAATCACATTCGGTTTTACTTTTTAAAGTATGTTGAGTAATTTGCTGCTGACTTTGTACTTTTTATACAACTGAAAAAGAAAATGTGATCTGTTAAGATATGCTCTCATATTCTTCCTGTAATTAGTAAATAATTAAGTCAAGAGTAACTAAATGATTATTTTAAGAGATATTTATGTGCACATATAATAATCACAATATATTTATAGTTCCTAATAGCTTTCCGTTGATTGTTAATTAATCATAATTAGTAAAGAAACAAATACATCCATACCTAATATCTTGTATAAATAGAAGTAGTTTAACAATTGTAAGATAGATCGTAGACCATAGACATTGACGTTGTAAGTCAATATATACTTGAAAAGCTCATTTTGGACTTCTAAGTTCCTTTTCATTGAATCGCAAGGTCATAAAGAAAGTATGTATTTGAAAGAATGTATTTGCGAATATAATGATAGCCATACTTGAAAACTTCTACTCAAACTTTCCACTTGAAAAAATTAAGATCATAAAGAAAAACAAGCATTCAAGTGACGAAGAATTTATAGCTACTGTCTTTTAATGTCATATACTTTGTATAGATGTCTATATCCGGAGAGTGGTAACGAATGCTTAGCGCAGCAGCTTCTTGGACATCCTTTTATCTCTCCAAATCCCATGTCACACGGTTTAAGCAATAACATCACTTCAGATAAGCTTGACGATGGAAAAGATCGAGGGAGAAATCAAAATAGCTGTGATGATGGAGATGAGTATCCTGATTTGATGCCTATTCCTTTCGGCTACGCTACGAGAAATTTACAAGTTTGGAATGAGTTTGAGGTGTTGCAGATGATTGCGAAAAGGAGGGTTTGCTTCAGTTGTCAAGGTAAATTTTTATTACATACAACATTGTTTAAATAGAAGGTAGTTTGGTCATGTGAAGGAAATTTTGTACGTTATTTGGAAATGCTTTAAATACGCTTAGGTACGTAATAAATTGGAAGGCTGTCTCTATGCAATCAAAAGAATTACTTTGAATCCGAAAAGTGTGCTGTTTAATTGCAAAATTACTCGAGAAGAGAAGATGTTTTCTAGATTGAATCATGAAAATTTTGTAAGATAAAAAGATATTTACTATGCAAAAGGAATCAAAATTTTATAAAATATTTGTTCAAAGCGAGGTTCAATTTAGACGATACAAATTGCTTGGCTTATTAAATGTTATCTTTTTAGAAACTATTATAACAAAAGTAGATAATCCCTTTTTCCATGAAGCCCAAGGATGCTTTCAGTCATAATGAGAGAGTCATATTGTATAGGAGGCTCTCGTTCATCACGAGAGTTATGAGAAAGTTACATTGCAAAAGGTAACAAGTAAAATCTGATTTCGAAAGTGAAGAGGAAGCAATCACCACAAGAGATTTGCAAGAAGATTCAAAGTGTACTCTACAAACTTTGTATATACAGATGGAGAAATGTGAGAAGAGTACTCTAAGGAATGTCATTCGACATTTTTGGTTTTCTATTGCTAGATTTTCTTTGCTATCTATTCAAATTACATCAATTCTACTTATAAATATAATTATTATACAAAATGCTTTGTGTAAGTGAGTCAGCATATTTACCATGATGACGTAGTGTTTCTAAAGTTAGAATTTTAAAACACACTCACTGGTGACTCAGACTGGAGTAAGGTTACTAAGGTAGGCCAAGTTTCAACTGAGGAACTGATTGCAAAGACCAAACATTGGATGTTTCATTTTAGAAATTAATGTTTTAATGGTTCTGAAATATGTAATGAAATGATTATTTGCGTTTATTAAAAATTTTATCGACATGTAATTTGCATATGCGGTAATTTGAGATCAATTTTAAAACTGCACATGGTCACCGGCATTATACGACACGATACGGGAAACTACGGAGCATTGCATAGCAAGTCGCCATTTTTAGTAAAGAGTGAAAATTTAATGTAGAGAGAGTGCAAAGCGTTAACTTGTTTTTTTTTACAACAAGTATTGATAAGAATGGCTCCAATTGACAATTTCCTCGAAAACGGTCAAATTCACAACACCAAAGATCCTCGTTGGTTGCAAGTTGAGATTTGCCGCGAGTTTCAACGTGGTAAATGTAGCAGAGGAGAAATGGAATGCCGATATGCACATCCTGATGAAAATGTCCAAATTGAAAATGGAGGCAGAGTAACTGCATGTTATGATTCAATGAAGGTAATTTTTTATGTATTCCTTATAAATTTGGTATAGGTAAATATTATTGTTTACAACATGCAAATTTCAACTGTCTATGCTTTGTACAATGTTGGTGTTTTGTATATTTTTCTTATACTTGTACTTGAATAAAAAAATAGATACGAGATGAAAATGAACTTATCCACGCATCAATACCATATCTTAAAACAACATTTTGACTGAGAAATATTGTTAAGAAAGGAAGATTGTTGCTAATATAGATTTTATATCAATTGCTATAACAATTTAAATGAGTATTTATTTTACATAATCAATAACTTTATATATATAATAAATTTTGGTTTTAGGGTCGCTGCCAAAGAGAGTCATGTAAATATTTTCATCCACCTCATCATATAAAACTGCAACTTGAAGCAAATGGTCGTCTTTTAAAACAGCACAAGCAACAACTTCAGGCAATGGCTTCACAAAATATGATCCAAACACCAACTGTGGTAAGTCTTTCTACTTGGTTTTAAAAAATCGTTTGGTTGAAGCTAGTCTGCTTACAATTTTATTTCATAAAGTCTGAAATCAGTAAAAATGAATTTAATGATTATTTAGCTAAGAGTTCATTAAGATTTCATTATTCAACAAAGACTTGTTTTTACCTGGTGACCAATTGATGAGTTAAACTAAATATTGCATGAAATACCATAATCTAACATAATTTTCTTTAGCTTCCATTGAATACCATACAACATTCTGGTGTGAGTGCTTTTCCTTTGACATTTGTATCAAGTGCTGTGTTGACGCCATCTCCTCATAATACTCCTGTTGTTGCCACTTCAATTCAACGAGAAGAACTGAAAAGTTCTTCCCTTTCTTGAGGTAATGTAAAATATTGTACTTTGTACTTTTTAAAATTAGAACTGCTCATCAGCCAATTTTTACATGAGTTTTAAGATTGGTATTCATATGGAGTACCTTATCTACAGAAAATATTTATTTTAAAAAAATTACATTTTTTATTTCAGTGTTTTTTTCCAGAACACTGTCATAAAATGTTAGTGAATATAAATATGGAGATCCAATGCTGTTTTTTTTCTGACAACTGTATTTATGAACAATCTTATAAAAAATTACATTTTGCGCAGTTGTAACAAATGTTTTGCAGCTTTGTAGTAAGTGTAAGGTTCTTATTTTTTACTCACTTAATGGCAATTCAAGACTCGGTCAATAATGATGTCAATTTTCTTTTCAAAATCAATTTAGTCTTAGCTCTGTACACCAGAGCATAATGGCTAGAGCCGAGTCTGATTTTGATGTATTTTATGGTACTGTAGCCTGAGTTGAGGTCAAAATAAGACTCTGCTGGTAAATGTCTATGTAAAGAAATTTTCAAACTCCCACAAAAATGCAGCAAACACACAAAGTTATTGTTCATTAAAAAAGTAAAAATTTCCGCTAAAAAAACAACATTTATGTCTAACTGATAACATGACACCATATTGTAGTGACATATAGATAGTCTGAGACTCTGAGAGGGACAATTTTTTACAATAAAGACGACTACTCTGAAGATGACTACTGTTAAGGTTGTCGAAATGTCAGTCAGCAACAACAAAAACAGTCCTTCTCAGGACTCTACCAACCTGGACGATCTACATTTACAAACATGTAATGATACTCCCGGGTTCAAACCATTTACTTTATTACGAGAAGCCTTTTATTACAATTCTTTTCTTCATTTGAAGTAAAAGTTGAAAACTTGATTTTTCGATATTTGGAAAAACAGTCAATATTAGTACCACCATAAGGACAAATGTCTACACTTAAAACTTTGGCAATATCTTTTTGTTATGTCTTCCTCCATCATGAATGACGTCTAAGCGAAGTTTTTCCTCTTCTGGAAACTTTATTTACTGAGAAACACTGTGCTCCTCTAACGAATGTCATTGATTTTTGAACTTGTAAACCTTCTACATACTGTAGCTGAAACTTGTTTCAACAGAAGCGGGAGTTTTTTTAGCCGTCACGGGAGGTGAAACTCCCAGAATTTGCACAACTCTGTGTAGTCTTTTATTTTTTATCAATAAAAACAATGTGTACATGTTAAACCACCGCATATTTTTTAAGAACATCGATTTTGTTTGTTTGGTTATCTGTAATATTTTTCTCCTTTTTTTAAGATTTGTCATGATTACTTAAATGAAACCTGCTCAGTTCATGAGACACAATGTTTTGCCGCACACCCACCTATGGAACTTCTTCGTGATCGAAACCAGAAAAGAATTACGGTTTGCATGGATTTTGTTAAAGGCCGATGTACTAGAGAAACATGTCGATATTTTCATCCTCCTGAGCATTTAAAACAAAAGTTGAAAACTGTGAGGATCAGTCAAAGTCAACTGAATGTTGTAAGTTAATCAGATTCTTTTCGATTATGAACTGAAGTTATTTTTTTAGCTTAAACAAGGAATAAAAGTAGATTAGAGATTTGAAGTATTTGGAGAGTCCAGCATGGTTCACTGATTCAAAACTGTACGCTTGTTGAAACGGGAAATGAAGTGTATATGTATATTTTAGACAGCGCTGGCAATTTCCATTATCTGTTATGGATTTTCTAAAAGATTATAGTGTATAACTTCATTCATTCATAGATATCATCTAACTCAAGAAAACGTTCTGGGGAATCAAAAGACGATTTGGTACAAAACAACTAATGAAATATGTTCCCGTGACATTGAAAAACGTTGATTACCTACAAAAACATATCATCTACGCCAACCATAACAAGATAACTTTGTATAAAACAGAACCCTCCTGATTACTTGTTTAATATATATTATTTTAGGAGGATCAGGCGAAACAACAAGCATTCAACTACACATTAATAAACACACCTTTGGCTTTACCTGCTACTAATTTTGCTACCATATTTCAACCATCTACATTTCAAGCTGCATTTAATGGAATGCAATTTGCTCCAGCCTTTTTCTCAACCTGTAAGTTGTTACAAATGTACAAAATTATCTATTGTAGGTATAGCCAGAATGATAATTGTTGGGAGGGGTATACTCATGTATTCATTTTATAATCCTTAGAAAAAAATGGATTTCAAAAGAAACTCATACTACATTTCATGCATGTATATAAATATGAGCCCTCCCCCCCCACGCAATTATCGTTGTGGCTACATGCATGGTCTATTATGAATAAAATAATCATTTGAGATATCCCACAACTTTTATTCTTTTAACCACTGCTAGTTATGTAGCTATCACCACAAATTAAAATATTGTTTGGTCAGTAAATGTTTTTTTTTGTTTTAACAGTGCTTCTAACTGACCAAACTTGTTTTTTGTTTTCTTATTCAAATTCATCCAATGGGCTGTTTTTGTTTTCTTTTTTTAGTACCTTTGACAGTTCCTCAGTTAACTACAACGACAGTGAATACAACTCCCTATGTACATCCTCAAATTACTCCGGTATAGTTTACTTGTCAACATTTATTCATATTTCATAGGTTATGATTAACCAATCAACACCAAGAGTGGAAAAATTTTTTCTTCGAAAACAAACAGAGGGAAAAAAATTTCTGATGCTTATCAAGAGATTAAATTTTCTATGTTCTTCTGACAACTTGAAGCTTAAAAATCAAATAGCCAAACTTTTTCCTGCTATGTCTTGATATTTCAAAATTTTCTAGTCTCACGTTTCGATACATTTTTCATCCCTTTCAACTGCATTTATTATGTGCAATGTTGATATACATACCATAAAGGTGATAAATTCTGTCTTGGGTTTTTAATCGATAGTTGATCTTTCTATGTTTTCAGCAGAATTTTTTTGTATACAAATTGATATTTGAAAATTGAGTTTACCCCCAAAAACGCTGTTGCTAAATTTGCTTTGAAGTGACTTTTGTAAGAATACGAGTGTCACGGTATTAGAAATCCGTTTAGAACGTAATGAATAAAAATTTGGTTATCTTTGTGCTGATGAAAAAGTCTGTCTTTTATTCGTTATGTGCCTTCATTGGTGAAAATATTTCCAATGTTTGCCAATTTTCCGTTTGATTTCAAATATGGAGATTCAAAAATTTGGAGTAATTATATCGTGATGGGCAATGGAAATTAGTACATTATATCATATACTTTCGTCACTATACGTCAATTTTGGAAAACATGAGACGTTTTTTGCATACTTTACTTGTGTAATGTTTGCGGAGCAGTTGTGACCTAACTAAAATCACAATTTTCATTGTAGAAATTTGGCAGTTTTATTCGCTCGATGCTTGAAAAACAAACCAGTATTAGACACGTTCATTTATGAAAATATGTTTGACTTCAAGTTTTTTAATGTTTCTTTTTATAACAGGAATATAATTATGTTTTGTGTGATCCTGCTACAGGAGTTTTGTATGGCTATCAACAGTTTTATCCAGCGAATGGATGTCAGTATATGCCTTATGTTGACGCTGAGCAACAGGTCTGAGTTGATCACAGGTTACGGAGTTACCTGGACACCTGCATGCCTGCAAGCGCGCACTTCTTCTGCCAATTAACTACAAATCATTTGTTTTTCATGTTGATAACAAAAACTGGCAAAGTGCCTTGGGTTTGTTGCGCTAATAGTCGTTGATTTTCTTCACTTTGATCGTAAACTGTTTATTGAATTAATCAAGTTTTGTCCGTTTTTTGTATCAATTTATGATGTTAATGATGGTAGTTTATTGGCAATCGGTCCAGTTGATTGATTCACCACGGTCAGTTTAATGTCAACAGCGCTTTATTGATTCGATCATGAACTTATCACGTGAAACAATCAACTTTTTTAATAGTTTTTGTAAAGCGGTCATATAATTTTATTTCAACAGCTCGCCTCCTTAAATAACAACAAAAAACAAAATCAGCGTCCCATTTGTCGTGATTACAAAGCTGGCAATTGTAGAAGAGATTCTTGCAGATTTATTCATCTTGATGACCGTGAGTTTTCTCCACTGTGTTAGAGTTTGGCATAAATTTATGCCTCGCACCAGGTCATTTTATTAGACATTTAGTGCTCTTCCAAGTTATGAAAATTATAAATCTTTCGTTGATAAATAACACGTGTCGTTTGTGTGCCTCATTTTGACTGTTTCAAACATGTCAGTTACTGCAACAAACAATGTTAGGTAACATTGTGGTAAATTTATTTTATGTATACTATAAATAATTTGTATAAATATTAGATGTGATAGGGTGGCCTAGATTTTGTCAAACTCTAAAACATACATCACTGCTCTTTGCTTTCATCATGTGCACTAGTTTACTGCACTTTGGTTGTGCGAAGATCAAACTCCTTTTTGTTTTACGTAAATGTCATTTCGTCGTCCGCTCTCATTGATAAGGTTGCTCGTTTTTTGCTTGTCAAAAATTTTAGCTCGACCAAAATTGAAAACTTACAGTGCCGGAAAATTATTGTCAAAGGTTAAGATTGCTGTTACATTGTATCTGCTTGTCCTTGGAATGTATCATAGAGTTTACAAAAGGATAAGCTTTGATGCTTTCAAATAGTGTACGTTTGGCAACAAGATGATAACTGTGTTTTCCCACCTTTATGTCTACCGTTTTGTCTACGCTTTTCTCTACCTTTGTGTTGTCTTTCTGTTTATCTTTGTGTCTATCTTTTAGTTTTAGTCTACTTTAGTGTCTACCTCTGTGTCTAGTTTAGCCAGCCCTTGATTGTGCGGGACCAGCCTGAGATAAATTTATTTATGACCTTTAATCAATGTCCTACTGTTTGGTGATTGATTTTGCAAACACTTTGCAGTGAATATTGTATTGATTAATTACTACTGACAAAATATTTTCTTGATTGGTCTGTTTAGGAAATGTAGAGGTGATTGATGGACATGTGACGATATGCGTTGATTCAACGAAGGGATCTTGTCATCGGAATATTTGCAAATACTATCATATACCTAACAGTGATGGGAATGCAAATAAAGACATTGATGTTAAAAGTACTTTGAAATTTAAGTTACCTTTAGTATAACAAATAATGTAGTTGGAGTATGCATGATAGCAGCATATATTTCAAAGAATTGTATAGGATGATTATAAGCATGTATTTAATTCCTCGTTTCTCAATGTATTCTGTCTTTCAAAAAGATGAAATGTATCATTTATGATAATTTATAACGAATGTGTGTGTTTTGATTCTCGACTAGGCTCAGCGGAACAAGTCTAGCAGAACAACGAGCTGTACGTAAAAGGATTGCAAAAGTTATTGGCATCGTTATTGTATCTATTCACATTAGCTTTAAGCATCGAGTCAAACAATAGTTCAAATTGATTATTTTCGTAAAATATTAACCAATAAATCTTTTGTCCTTTGAGAAGCAAGTGAGTTTATGGACTCATACTGTCAAACAGGCAGCGCTCGCTGCCTTAAGGTATAAATGTACTAAAGTCGTAGGCTCTTGTGTGCAGTATGTGTGCTATCAATCTACAAATATTGTCAGTATGTTCTTCTCATCTACAAGTACTTTTTATTTAATATATGGACCTAAAATCATGTTTATGGAGCATGTTTTGTCCGACTTGTGCAGCATCTCAACTGCTAATTAAATATCATTTTTGAATACAAACATTCATGCAAACATTTCTATCTTTTATGTCTACGCAGAGGTATCAGTTATAGTGATTGTACTTGTGAATAAAAAATTACACCCAGGAGCTAACTAACCAGTGCGTTAAGTGAGAAATTTATATTTGTATGAAATAAATGATGAAAATGTTTTGATTGCTAGCCAGCTAGGATTATTATTTACAATGCAAACAAATTGGGTCAGCTGTGCTCGTGGTTCAGGGGGAAATCATATACTTATCAAAGAACGATGATACAGCAGCATCAAAAACTCAAATTATTACGACTTATAAGTTTCTGCTGTATAGTTAAAATTATGGATTAAATTATTAGATGACTTCAGTTCGATGTCGTTAGCATGTCTAGTGACAAAACATTAAATAATTGGATATTTATTATGCCCGGTAAGTGAAATGCGAAGAAATGTTGACATTTTACAGAATAGTTAATTGTTTCTTACTGTTTATTTGTTAGATAGTGACTTTTATGGTGAGAATGAGTGTTTGATAACCCTTCCACATCCTAAGAGAGGTAAAAAAAGACACTTTGTATGTTTTCATTACAGCTCTCTGTTTAATCTGTAAATTTTTGTCTTTGGTAAATCATTGTAACACACTTGATCAGTGAGAGGTCATATAGTTGAATATATAATGTTTTGACGTCTTTCAGCATCTCTAACTATTGTTTTATAGTAATAATTTTGAAGTGTTGTGTATGATGAGGTCATAAATTTCTGACCTGACACTTCTCTATAAATTCAGATGAAGAATGCCAGTACCTGTTGAGAGAAAAATCGCAGCAAATCTTCGAAATTATAAAATTTTATGAGCATCCAAGATCTTGGTTTGTTGATAATTCAGTTATTCAAGGTATCTATATTTTATGAATGGAGTAAATATGAAAGTAACATTTTATGTTTAGTTATTTACAAATTTAGATGGAAGTTTATATTTTGCTACAAGAGTTGATCCATTATTCATAATTCTTCCTTGCTTAAAAGCCACTTCAACCAAGGTAAAGACTAGAGAAATATTTTTGATTGAAAAAACTTTTTATAATTCTCAGCTAAATTTGAGTAAATATGCACATGTTGTAACATGTTTCTCCCCAATGTAATTCTAGTACATGAGCTTGGAGCAAATACTCCAAGAATGGGATAATATCCATATGAGAAAAATTAGTCCGTGTATCACAAAACAGGAATTAAACCTTATAACAGATGTAAAAGAGGAACATGGTTTAATTGTTTTTAAATTGAACAATGAAAAAGTTCTTTCATGGTTGCAACGTAAGGTAAATAATTTTTATATTTTTGGTCTTTCAGCAAATTTTTAAGGCATTGATGTGTCAATAAATTATAGTTGAAATATGATTTTTCACTGTAGGTTAGTCAAACCAAGGATCAGATAGAGAAAGACCACAGCAGTAATTCAGGTAACAGACCATTGGCATTTACACAACAGACCAAAACCTTTATTCTCACACATAACTGGGAGCTCCTGCAGCCAATCCGCCGCAAGCTTGACATTTATTACATTCATAAAAAACAGTTAATACAGCTACCATTGCATTGGCTAAATGGCCCTGCTCCTAAGAGTAGCAATCTAAACTCAATAGTCTTAGTTACCAACATACATATGTCTATAGTGTTCCATGTGAGTGGGTGGGTGCGACTTTAGTCAAGCTGTACGGTTGCAACAATAAAATGTGCTCAATATAACTTCCCAAGGGTGTGAGAGAAAACATTTTCTTCATTTTTTGTTCCACAGTCAGCGGAACATAATAATTTCTACCTTCGCCTACAGTTCATTCAATGATCAAATCTATTAATCCATCAGCTTGCTTCTGACTTCTTTCTTGTACAAACTCTCTCTCCTATCTCATTTGCTTTGTATATTTGCCAAATGAATCTACTTTGCACAAAGTCATCTCACCTTCTCTCAATAAATAATGCATGTATCTACTTTTTTCAAAGTTAACTCGTCTTTTTCTTATAAATAGCACGTGGATCTACTTTGCTCAAAGTCATCTCACCTTCTCTCCATAAAAACTATGTGGATTTAGTTTGAGGTTCACCTTCGCTACCTTGATTTACATAACTTTGTTCTATTTTCAGTCCCTTAATTCATTGTCTCGTTATCAAAGTGAATCACCACAAACATCTAATTATTAGCTAATCGTTTCTCTTACTCTGAAAAATTTAGCCAAACTTTCACTATTGTCATCGTACATACCTTCTTATAAATTTATTACTTCATTGATCATTGCTACTGTTGTGTTTTTCTTGTTGTACACAGATAACCTCTTCCTATTCTTAAAATGAAGAAATTTTTCGTCATTTATTTACCTGTCATACAGAAAGCAAACATCCCCTTTATCCTGCTATCTCCTCTCTTGCATCTTTTCTACAATCTTCAGTGCATGCTGAAGCAACTTCAATCTATTATTTTCTCATCAACTCTTTTCACATCCTCTTCTTTTAAAAATTGACAGAACATGTACTACAAATGTCTGTGGCCACATATTACATATTTCATCGATTTAACACACCAAGACTAGTTATATCATCACAAAAATCTTAATCTGCCTCCTACTGAGCACTATCGTTTCTTCTGAGAGTTGAGTAGATAAAGGTATAAATGTTATAAAAAGACATTTATATAGCAGCAGTTGTAATGGTAAATTATATCTCTATGAATTCAATAACATCGTTATTAAAATTTTTATAAGTTGTTAATCCATCTTTTCAATTAAGAAAATAATCTTCGCTATGCGTTTGGCTTGATTTCCGATTATATCTCCGATGAATGGATTGTGGAACTGAAAGATCGTTTAGGGTAAGTCTATAAGTATATGGGTAGTTTAATTTTAATTTTTAGTGCAAAGCTTTTGTATTTCTCAATATATTTGCAATTAACTTAAATTAAGTCAAAAAGGTTGTTGTTGTTTAAAAGTTTGCACTTTCCTTTCACTTAACTTTACGATGATTACGTTTATATTACATCTTCAATAATTGCTGAATGTGTGTTTAAATAATAGAAGTCGATAAGTTCGTCGCAAAAATTGATAAATAGGAAAATTTGATAGCAAAACGTGCATGGGTTCACATTGGTGTATAAATATGGCCCATGCCATGAATTTAATTCTCAAATAAAAATCAAACAATCATCGATACACGATCGTTTTGTGCTGAATTTAGAAGAACTGTTAATTTATTTCATGATAATTGCGACGCTTTTTTCCATTGGGAAGTATATTGTGAATGTACAGTTAATAAGTTAATTGTATTTACCTTTGTGTCTATCTTTTAGTTTTAGTCTACTTTAGTGTCTAACTCTGTGTCTAGTTTAGCCAGCCCTTGATTGTGCGGGACCAGCCTGAGATAAATTTATTTATGACCTTTAATCAATGTCCTACTGTTTGGTGATTGATTTTGCAAACACTTTGCAGTGAATATTGTATTGATTAATTACTACTGACAAAATATTTTCTTGATTGGTCTGTTTAGGAAATGTAGAGGTGATTGATGGACATGTGACGATATGCGTTGATTCAACGAAGGGATCTTGTCATCGGAATATTTGCAAATACTATCATATACCTAACAGTGATGGGAATGCAAATAAAGACATTGATGTTAAAAGTACTTTGAAATTTAAGTTACCTTTAGTATAACAAATAATGTAGTTAGAGTATGCATGATAGCAACATATATTTCAAAGAATTGTATAAAATGATTATAAGCATGTATTTAATTCCTTGTTTGTCAATGTATTCTGTCTTTCAAAAAGATGAAATGTATCATTTATGATAATTTATAACGAATGTGTGTGTTTTGATTCTCGACTAGGCTCAGCGGAACAAGTCTAGCAGAACAACGAGCTGTACGTAAAAGGATTACAAAAGTGATTGTCATTGTTATTGTATCCATTCACAATAGCTTTAAGCATCGAGTCAAACAATAGCTCAAATTGATTATTTTTGTAAAATAGTAACCAATAAATCTTTTGCCCTTTGAGAAGCAAGTGAGTTTATGCACTCACACTGTCAAACAGGCAGCACTCGCTGCCTTTAGGTATAAATGTACTAAAGTCGTCGGCTCATTTATGTCAGTATGTGCTATCAATCTACAAATACTGTCAGTATGTGCTTCTCATCTACAAGTACTTTTTATTTAATATATGGACCTAAAGTCAGGTTTATAGAACATGTTTTGTCCTACTTGTGCTGCATCTCAACTGCTAATTAAATATCATTTTTGAATACAAACATTCATGCAAACATTTCTATCTTTTATGTCTTCGCAGAGGTATCAATTATAGTGATTGTACTTGTGAATAAAAAATTACACCCAGTAGCTAACTAACCAGTGCGTTAAGTGAGAAATTTATATTTGTATGAAATAAATGATGAAAATGTTTTGAATGCTAGCAAGCTAGGATTATTAGTTGCAATGCAAACAAATTGGGTCAGCTGTGCTCGTTGTGGCTCAGGGGGAAATCACCAAATTATCCAAGAACGATGTTACAGTAGCATCAGGAACTCAAATTATTACGACTTATATGTTTCCGCTGTATAGTTAAAATTATGGATTAAATTATTAGATGACTTCAGTTCGATGTCGTTAGCATGTCTAGTGACAAAACATTAAATAATTGGATATTTATTATGCCCGGTAAGTGAAATGCAAAGAAATGTTGACATTTTACAGAATAGTTAATTGTTTCTTACTGTTTATTTGTTAGATAGTGACTTTTATGGTGAGAATGAGTGTTTGATAACCCTTCCACATCCTAAGAGAGGTAAAAAAAGACACTTTGTATGTTTTCATTACAGCTCTCTGTTTAATCTGTAAATTTTTGTCTTTGGTAAATCATTGTAACACACTTGATCAGTGAGAGGTCATATAGTTGAATATATGTTTTGACGTCTTTCAGCATCTCTAACTATTGTTTTATAGTAAGAATTTTGAAGTGTTGTGTATGATGAGGTCATAAATTTCTGACCTGACACTTCTCTATAAATTCAGATGAAGAATGCCAGTACTTATTGAGAGAAAAATCGCAGCAAATCTTCGAAATTATAAAATTTTATGAGCATCCAAGATCTTGGTTTGTCGATAATTCAGTTATTCAAGGTATCTATATTTTATGAATGGAGTAAATATGAAAGTAACATTTTATGTTTAGTTATTTACAAATTTAGATGGAAGTTTATATTTTGCTACAAGAGTTGATCCATTATTCATAATTCTTCCTTGCTTAAAAGCCACTTCAACCAAGGTAAAGACTAGAGAAATATTTTTGATTGAAAAAACTTTTTATAATTCTCAGCTAAATTTGAGTAAATATGCACATGTTGTAACATGTTTCTCCCCAATGTAATTCTAGTACATGAGCTTGGAGCAAATACTCCAAGAATGGGATAATATCCATATGAGAAAAATTAGTCCGTGTATCACAAAACAGGAATTAAACCTTATAACAGATGTAAAAGAGGAACATGGTTTAATTGTTTTTAAATTGAACAATGAAAAAGTTCTTTCATGGTTACAACGTAAGGTAAATAATTTTTATATTTTTGGTCTTTCAGCAAATTTTAAGGCATTGATGTGTCAATAAATTATAGTTGAAATATGATTTTTCACTGTAGGTTAGTCAAACCAAGGATCAGATAGAGAAAGATCATGTGTGTACATCTTCACAATCATCAACATTTATTCGAAGCAATAAACACCACAGCAGTAATTCAGGTAACAGACCATCGGCATTTACACAACTTACCAAAACCTTTATTCTCACACACAACTGGGAGCTGCTGCAGCCAATCCACAGCAAGCTTGACATTTATTACATTCATAAAAAACAGTTAATACAGCTACCATTGCATCGGCTAAATGGCCCTGCTCCTAAGAGTAGCAAACTAAATTCAATAGCCTTAGTTACCAACATACATATGTCTATAGTGTTCCATGTGAGTGGGTGGGTGGGACTCTCGTCAAACTGTGCGGTTGCAACAATAAAATGTGCATAATATAACTTCCCAAGGGTGTGAGAGAAAACATTTTCTTCATTTTTTGTTCCACAGTCAGCGGAACATAATAATTTCTACCTTCGCCTACAGTTCATTCAATGATCAAATCTATTAATCCATCAGCTTGCTTCTGACTTCTTTCTTGTACAAACTCTCTCTCCTACCTCATTTGCTTTGTATATTTGCCAAATGAATCTACTTTGCACAAAGTCATCTCACCTTCTTCCAATAAATAACGCATGTATCTGCTTTTTTCAAAGTTAACTTGTCTTTTTCTTATAAATACCACCTGGATCTACTTTGCACAAAGTCATCTCACCTTCTTCCAATAAATAACGCATGTATCTGCTTTTTTCAAAGTTAATTTGTCTTTTTCTTATAAATACCACGTGGATCTACTTTGCACAAAGTCATCTCACCTTCTTCCAATAAATAACGCATGTATCTTCTTTTTTCAAAGTTAACTTGTCTTTTCTTATAAATACCACGTGGATCTACTTTGCACAAAGTCATCTCACCTTCTCTCCATAAATATTTTTATAAGTTGTTAATCCATCTTTTCAATTAAGAAAATAATCTTCGCTATGCATTTGGCTTGATTTCCGATTATATCTCCGATGAATGGATTGTGGAACTGAAAGATCGTTTAGGGTGAGTCTATAAGTCTATAAGTATATGGGTAGTTTAATTTTTATTTTGAGTGCAAAGTTTTTGTATTTCTGAATATATTTGCAATTAACTTAAATTAAGTCAAAAAGGTTGTTGTTGTTAAAAAGTTTGCACTTTCCTTTCACTTAACTTTACGATGATTACGTTTATATTACATCTTCAATAATTGCTGAATGTGTGTTTAAATAATAGAAGTCGATAAGTTCGTCGCAAAAATTGATAAATAGCAAAATTTGATAGCAAAACGTGCATGGGTTCACATTGGTGTATAAATATGCCCCATGCCATGAATTTAATTCTCAAATAAAAATCAAACAATCACCGATACACGATCGTTTTGTGCTGAATTTAGAAGAACTGTTAATTTATTTCATGATAATTGCGACGCTTTTTTCCATAGGGAAGTATATTGTGAATGTGCAGTTAATAGGTTAGTTATTAATAGTTCAATAAGTTTATTTAAGTCAATTTTTTGTCCAAAATGAATTCAAATTTTAAAACATTTAATGGTAGGTTAATAGTGGAGTTCACTTTAGACTGTACAAAAGGCTTGGCTTACTAAATGTTTTTTTATAAAAACTTTAAATTCCTGGAGATATAAAGTGTTTTATTTCAACATTAAATGAGATAAGGAAAGCAGATAATTTTTATTTCTCATGAAGCTCATGTATGCTTTAATCCATGATACAAAAATGTATAAAAATGTTTAACGCTGGCTTAATTTATAAGTCAAAAAGGCAGAAGTTGTTTGTTTGAGCATTTGTTATATCCTTACATGTTCTAGTTTATTTTATGAATACAAAAGAAAATTTCGAAAATAGTTTCCTTAATAATCTGTGACTAAGCAAGATTTCTCAGAATGAGTCAGAATGAAGTGTTATTTTTGCCATAACCCCAGACAGTTGGCCTTGTTTCGACTGCGCGTGCTCACATGATATCTCTACTAAATTCCCTGTAATATGTGACAAAGTGAGCCATTTGCCTAGAAAGCTGTGTAAGTTCGTCGAGATATTAGACTACAGCCCGTGAAAGGTTTTATTTAAAATGTTTCTGTTAGCCATGAAGCCCTCTTTATTCATGGAACCAAATCAAATGGAAGTTTATGTAAAAAGGAAATAATTATAAGAAATATTTCATGGTTGATTCAAATTACGAGATAAAAGGCAGTGTTTTTTTGAAATGTAGCACTATCCTTTTTTTCGTCAACATCTTAGTATTTTAGAGGAATAATTTTTTATATTGTTCAGAATAACTGAGGAGATTTTGGAGTCATCACTCGAGGAACCCGCTTGTAAGGTTAGTGTTTTAGTGTTGTATAGTGAATATTATTTTAAATTTGAAACTATACAGAAACTCTATAGAATCATGGAACTTGATTTTCAAGTATTTTGTGTAATGTTGTTTAGTTTTATCCTAATGTAATGTTGTTTAGAAAGTGAAGTTGGATGAAAGTCTCGTTGGTAAACCTGATGAAGATTATTCCAAATTTGTCAGCAAGTCATTCAAAACCAATCAAGTAATGTATTGGTTGAACATTATGAATCTTAGTAATTTAGCATGTAATTCCTAAACCACCATAACAGAGTTTTAGCATAATATGAATCCTAGCATGTAGTACTTCATGTAATCAGGAAAAATATTTTTATTTATGTGTAATATGGAACCTAGTAAGTTTTTTTTTGGTTTATTACACATTTAATTCTTTCATTTGATTTGATTTTAGATGGGTGAAGTCAAACTCACCGCTGCTCAAAAGTCTCTAGCAAAAGTTAATACGAAAGGAATGAAGAATATTTCAAGTTTTTTTCAACCTCCAAAAAAATCCAAATAGCAAATGCATCTTAAGTGAGGATTTGAAATTATTTCCACTGACTATAAATATTTTTAAATAAAACAAACGTTTTCGTAACGACTCAGTGGAGATGAGCAACAAAGTTCAACAATATCGCTCTTACAGATTCACTAGTTTTAATTTTGTAAAATGTGCAACTTTTGTCTTTAGCGCGAAAGCTGAACCATTTTATTGGCTGTCCACAGAAAACTAAAATCAAATAGTTTATTCAGCAAACATAGAAAAAGATTTCCGTAAAGTCTAAATAATTTATACAGTTTCCACTTTCATGCGTCCATCATTTGTCTACCTTTATGTCTACTTTCATGTGTCCATCATTTGTCTACCTTTATGTCTACTTTCATGCTTCCATCATTTGTCTACCTTTATGTCCACTTTCGTGCGTCTATCTTATCGTCTACCTTTATGTCTACTTTCATGCGTCCATCATTTGTCTACCTTTATGTCTACTTTCATGTGTCTATCTTATCGTCTACCTTTATGTCCACTTTCGTGCGTCTATCTTTTTGTTTAATTTTTGTAAGTAGCTACCAATAGCTATCTCTAATGCACACTCCAAGTAATGTGTCTATGTAAACACTAAAGACATTTGAATACGACAGACGATTTCTGTGATCTTCAAGCCTGTGTACTTAATAGTCAGTAATAAATGTTAGAAATTTGTAACGTTTTTCAATAAAATGACGGCATGGACGACATTAGAAAAAGTCTTAATTTCATGTAATCAATTTAGGCGTAACTACCTGAAAAATTCAAGCGTATTTGCCTACTATTTATTAATAATAAAAACGTTTAACCAAGCGAAACACACACTTTTTCTGGTGTATGGCGCGCTTTTCCTTTTTGAATAATCGTACAGCCACTTATCACAACTGCAAGAATAGCAACTGTATAAATATCTTTCGACCTTCTAAACGAAAACTTTTCTGTTTTATCAGTATTTATAGTTAGTAAACAATTAAGGAAAACGACGATTCTTTATATCGATAAAGTTTGAAATTTTTAAATTTCGTTTCCTTATTAATCCTTAAAATCGGTTGATTGTTGTTTTCGTGTTGTACGTTTTAACAGGATTTTAATGATAACAAGTCTCACTTTCTGACATGGGCACTTGCAGGAGAGCGTTGTGTCAGGAGTATCTGTATTCAAATTCATTTAGTCCGATGAGGCACTTTCTTGAAATGATTTTTTTGAAGACTAATTTTTGTTTTAAGAATGCCTAATAAACCTATAAAATAAATGACAATTTAACTCATTGCTTAAGTTAGTGCTCTTTAGAAATAACAAAAAACAAGACCTGCGGCTCCTTCGACAATATTTCTGGTTTATTCTTCTCCTCTTTATTTTTCTTGTATCTACAAAAGCGTGTTGTAATCATTATCGCTATCGATTTGAATTTGATTTGTTTAAATGATTATTATTATGCTTTAAGACGCTTTACAATGAAAAAATCAAAGTGTTTTTCAAAATCTTATGAAAAAAATATTTGTCACCATGATGTTAACAAGTATATTAGCTATAATGAAGCCATTAAAATTTTCATTGCAAACAAAAAGTGCCAATGATTGCATAGCCTACCTGCTTTTTTGAATGATATAGTAGCTAACAACTATCTTTTAGTGGAATTGAGGAAATAATCTTACTTTCTTACAAATGCATGAACAATCCATACACTTCCCGAAAGAGTAGCGCCAAGCATTGCCATGGATATGACAATATACGCGGCTGCATAACCTAAAATGATTTTTTGATAATTTTTAGCTTACATTGACTAAAAAATAACATATATCTTTCACAATATTTTCTTTAATTTAATCGTATGTTCGTTGCAACAAGTAGACAATTTTTTAAGAAAATAATATCACAATAATAACATATAATTGAGAAAAAGTCAAGAAAGTACTATTACGAATTCACTAAATCATGCTACTGAGGATCCTCTCTTTTTTATTGCTACTATAGTATTTATGTTGAAAGAAGTACCTTTGGTTGATAAGTTATCTTTCAGCATCAGTGACATTTGAATATCTTTAGATAGTAAGGATTTCTGACCATATCTTTTTACTTTACAATTTTCGGGAATTTGGCATTCCGTGGCAAAACACTTTGTCTTGTTGACCAGATAGGCTAATTCACATTTTCGGTAGCTACAACATATACCAAGACATTCTTTCATGTTCTTAACACGACCGAGAAACGTTAAATTGTCTGGCTGTGACTGCAACACTCCATTGGAAATAACGTCGCTGTGAATCATCTCAGAGTTCTTGCAAGTTGGATGCTGATTTTTTGCTATCTTTACACTGCCGTTAACTACATGAATTTAGAAAAACAATAAACACATACCTTACTAAAATTGTTGAAATAGTATAAAAAATTTGACAGAAATTGGTTTCTTTATAATCGTGCCGATTGTTTGAACATTTTTCGTGTGACAAGGACAATTATATGGAAACCAGTTTTTAGCAATCGTTTATAAAGGTTGTACAGCGTACGTAAAACTTGATCGTCTGATTTTTCCAGTGGATTTATTTTCTGTTTACTCATTCCTACAAAAAAGACACGTACTTTGATTATAGAAACTCAGAGATCTTATAAACAACAATAGACAATTTGCCAATCATTCTGCTCGATGTTGCACACCTTGGAGTAATCGAGACTTCACAAGATTGGAAGTCGTTCTCCAAGCCGTTAACAATTGCTTATAAAAAACATGGGATTTGGCAAGAAAAGGTCACAAAGTTATTTAAGTACCTCTCAAATTATCATTTCCAAATGATGAACAAATTACAACAACAAGTAAAATCGTTCCAGATTTATGATAACAAATTGTTAACATAGTTTTATTTGAAAATTCAAATATTTATCCAATATCACCGACTCTTCAATACAGCGACTTAAGAAATTAATTGAAAAGGATTATAAACTTTTGAAGATAAATCTTTGAAATTGTCATGCACTTCGAACTGGCGACAGGTTGCTTTATTGTCCCGTCTTCAAGGACGAATTTAGATTTAAAACAAAAACGGGTCACGTGCGGTTCGTAAGAATAAACCTTGTAGCCGAAGATGTAGGTACGTCGCGAACAGATTTGCGCCAAGAAAAAAATTAAGGGAGGGACACAAGAATAGTGCAAAGATTCAAATCTACCTTAAACCCCTTTTACACATTCTCTAAACTTCGCCATCAACTCCTCTTTAATATAGACTGAAAAAGGTAAACACATAGGTAGACACAGAGGTAGGCGAAGTTTAGAGAATGTGCAACCTTTTATGTTTTTGTCCTCGCGCATGAGTTCTATAAGACATGGAGGGAACACGTCAACAAAATTACTGTAAATTATTAGCGCGCGGCCCGTGGTCAAAAACATTGCGGTGAAAATGTGTGAAAATCATGAACTATAACTTTGGCATGAAAATGCGTAAAAATGCATGAACTATAGTCTTCGGCATGAAAATGCGTAAAAATGCATGAACTTTAGTCCTTTCAATCAAAATGAAATACGTGAATTATAGTCTTTGGCATGAAAACGCATGAACTATAGTTTTGGCATGAAAATGCGTAAAAATGCATGAACTATAGTCTTTGGCATGAAAATGTGTGAAAATGCATGAACTATAGTCTTTGGCATCAAAATGCGTGAACTACAGTCTTTACCATGATAATGTGTGAACTATAGTCTTTGGCATGAAAATGTGTGAAAATGCATGAACTATATAGTTCATTAATTTTCACGCATTTCCATGCTTTAGTCTATAGTTCATGCATTTTCACGCATTTTCATGCCAAAGACTGTAGTTAATGCATTTTCATGCCAAAGACTATAATTCACGTATTTCATTTTGATGGAAAAGACTAAAGTTCATGCCTTTTCACACACTTTCATGCCAAAGACTATAGTTCATGCATTTTCACACATTTTCATGCCAAAGACTATAGTTCACATATTTTCATGTCAAAGACTATAGTTCATGGATTTTCACACAATTTCATGCCAAAGATTACAGTTCATTGATTTTCACACATTTACATGCCAAAGACTACAGTTCATACCTTTTCACACATTATCATGCCAAACACTATAGTTCATGCATTTCAACAAATTTTGATGGAAAAGACTATAGTTCACACATTTTCACGCAAAATCTTGTCAGAAGGCCTAGAAATCGAATGCTTGGAGGTGCTTAACTTTTTTCATTTTTATAACACAAAAAAAGGGAATATGGAAAGATTCGGAGCAATAGTTGCAATGAAAATTTATTGTCGCATGGAGATTCAAAATTCTTTAAAAGAGACAAGATATAATACAGGCTGATAGTTGAATAAAAACATAAAACAATACATTGTAATAATATTTTTCTATCCAATTCATTCCTTTGAGTTTTTAGTTTTAAATTTATGTGTGCAAAAAGAGCTGGTCATTTGCCATTGAAGACCTTTGTATAATTTCAATGTCTGTCACTGTGCTAAGCCCACAGGTGCATAAAATATTGTTAACTTTGTAGTTGCAAGCACAAAAGCTTTTCTCCATTAGAAATGTAATGCATGTTTGGAGATTAGCACAGTGATTGAGCTTCAAAATTTTACAATAGTTTAATTGCCAAAACTCGTCTTTATGTACACTCTGTAGAAAGCTAATTAAAGAAATCAGATGTTGATGTTAGCTAATAACTACAATAAGAAAATGAGAAGCTATTAACAATCTAGATCGTTCATCAAATCTTTTTGACATCAGTCGACATTTAGAATTTTCATGATCAGCTGTAGTTGTTCACCAAGGAGGCTTAAATGTTTGGAGTCTGCTATTTACTGTAGCTGATATATGCGTATTTACTTATATCTGTGTTTATATTGTATTCAATTGCATTTACCGCTCTGTGGGGATTAATTACTTCTAAGTGATGAATCATGCAAATTTTAAATCGCGGCTGATTTCAAAGACATCAGTTTTTTGAGATAAGCACAATGTACAATTGACAACACACCTAGTAAATGACCACTCAGAACACAACAGTTTACGCCACACCTAGTCACTGTCCAATCAGAACCCAACAGTTTACGCCACACCTAGTCACTGTCCAATCAGAACCCAACACGTTCGTGAAACGTAGGCCATAGTTTAAGGCAAAACCTAAGAACGTGCCATTTGAACGTGAAAGTCGGTAGATGTACGACGAATAGTTAGCTGAAGTTGAAATTATTCCTTGGTGAAATATCTCCTGAAGTGCTCTGAAAAAAATGTTCAGGTAAATGTGTTGTTTCATGTTCTTTTGCACTGAGTCTGAATTAAATTGGGACGCTGCATGGGATGTTTATCTATGCAGAATGCGGTGTGGCCTTTCCATAAAGTTTTCGTCTTAGTAACTTTAGTTTCTTCTATGCTTTATTTTAGACATGAACATTCTCTTAAACGACATGTAGTCATCAAATGAGATTGAAAAACAGCAAACAAATGTTGGCGTATTTACCATGAGGGTGGACTCTACAATTAAAGAAAATGGTTCACAGCGATTGAAGAGAATTGTGGCTGTTGTTGACCATTTCCTCGACGCTGGTCTAAACATATGAACAAAATACAATCCTGTAATTTGGTTGAAATTCTTCTTCCCTTGAACTACATTACTAGTGAATAAAATGTTCAATGTAAGTATGTTATCAATGTTTTTCATTTATGAAAGTATAGCGTGAGCTGTCATTAATTGGATTCAATTATCCTATGTAGAAACCTTTAATGAAATCCTCTGAGCAATGATCAAGTTAGAACAATGATCAAGTTAAAACAATGATCAAGAATGATGAAGTCCTCTGAACAATGATCAAGAATGAACAATATACTTTCATTAGTCCTTTGAACAATGATGAAGAATGAACAATATACTTTCATGAGTCCTCTGAATAATGATCAAGTTAAAACAATGATCAAGAATGATGAAGTCCTCTGAACAATGATCAAGAATGAACAATATACTTTCATTAGTCCTTTGAACAATGATGAAGAATGAACAATATACTTTCATGAGTCCTCTGAATAATGATCAAGTTAAAACAATGATCAAGAATGACGAAGTCCTCTGAACAATGATGAAGAATGGACAATATACTTTCATGAGACCTCTGAACGATGATGAAGAATGGACAATATGCTTTCATGAGTCCTCTGAACAATGATCAAGAATGGACAATATACTTTGAGGAAGTTGAAAAACACGTGACTTCTACTGTCCCAAAGGCCATCTCTACCAAGAATGCAAACACTAAACACTATTGATGAGCAATGCATCCATCGACTTAACGCCTGTTTCCATGGACAAGTCAATATTATAACCTTTTCTAAAACATTTTTCGTGGAGATTTTCCTGCTAAGATCACGACTGGTCGATCAATCACAATGATGAATAAAACCACGCCACTATCGAACGCCCAAATTTCAACATTATTTAATTCAAAATTTTTCGTAATAAGAACATGGAATTTCTTTGACTTGAAAATACAAAACCTAAAAATCCTAATTTTCCGACTGGCTGTCGATATTTCCGATTTAATGCCGTAGGCGACATGCACAGTTGCAAGAAATGGCCAATCTTGCTTCTGTACTTGCCGTCGTCGACATTAAAGCGGGAATGTTTGTCAGGTAGCCTGAGAATTGGATACGATGGTTTCACCATCAATGTTTGTCATTTTTCAAAAAATCATTTTGGGCTTTTTTGTGGCTGTCCTTGCTCAGTAACCGATCGTTTCATCTTCATAGTTGGCAAATGATTTGTCGTTTATCGTAGTCTGTCATCGAACTGCCAAAGATTCTCTCGTCAATCTGCCAAGGATTCGTCGAAAACCGTGAGTGTAATAATAATAAACCTTTTAATTATTTAGACCTGCTAACAGGTCAAATCTCTAATATATTTTGGACAGTAGCCACAACAAATCCTGGTGTTCAGTATATTCCACATGAGGCTATTTTTTAATGCAGGAATGGGAATAAATATATTTAAAGAAATTAACATCTGCATTTTCAAAAATAGTCTTGATTAAGAGGTAATAAAAATGTTCTTTCGGTTGAAATAATCCAATTGTGTTTTTTGGTGCTGCTTTAATTTTATTAAAAATTTATATATTAGTAATCATGAAGTTGTATCAACTGTGTTAAGTCAGTGACAGACATACAATTGTGTTTGTTCTATATAATTTACCTTCGAAAAACCTCTGTGTGAATATACTGCTTTAAGGAGCTACGCATGATCGCAGCGGTTGTTGCCTCGCAGAAGGATAGACAGTACCATATAGCTTAGAATCGGAAATGCAAGTGAAGTTTGGCCAAAGGAAGGCAACTTCAACTTGGGGTTAGTGGGTACAAATGGTACCTTAGCGTAGAGGATGCAAATAGCATCTGTAAGAAGACCTTTGAAGACTGGATCTAGCGAGCAAGACCTATTGAAGACAAAGGAAAGATGGTGGTTTTGCTGGAAAGACAAAATATCTCTCCCCTAGTACGGTAAAAGCATGCAGTCTTGTAGTTGGCCAATTTCATGAACGGCTTTCTACAGTGACTATTAAGGCACTCCTGGATCCCCTATAATGCATGAGTAGTTCAACCCACCTCGGTTGGAGGTCACCCGTAGGTGCTACATGCACTAGGTTAGGTTAAGTTAAGGGCATGATGGGTTACCTCCTTCAGGGGCATTCCTTTCAGGGCGGAATTCCGGTGTCATGCGCAGGTAGGAAGTTTAGATAGCTTAGGCATGTGCTGTAGTTGCGGCGAGTAGTTGCTACGCTCAGGTAATGATTGTGGGGTTTAGTACCTTTTAAAGGATAAACCTCACTATCAAGAGAAATGAGTGATTTTTAAATGTTTGGAAGAAAACTTTCAATCTTGTCACTCATTATTAAATCGACAAATAAATACTTAAAAAAGTATTTAGTTTGTTAAGACATTTACAGTTTAAGGGGCGGCGTGGCAATTACTGTAAATGTGTAAAAGGGACATGTTGTTTTCTGTTAAAGAAAACTTTATTCCTGGGAATTTCAATGCTGCAAGCCACAGCGTAAATAGCACAAAAGTAAATTAGTACACCAGGTCTAAGTATGCGGTATGCCTTCATAATAATCTGAAAGAAAACACGGTTTTATTGAAAGTGCATTGTTTTGTTTATTTCTAATGGTTACTATGAAGACAAACCGTAGACGTTGTCACATATTTTACTTAAAAGTTACACGAAGGTTTCCATGTTCGCCATTTGCGTTTCTATAAAAGTGAACTATGTGATAATTGTCAAACTAAAACATAATTTAAATGAAGCGCTGCGGATTGTTTGGTTAAACTATCGCCACTTCCTCGTTAACCAAACTTAACGTGTGTTTCTTCAAGTAGTTGATGTTAAAATTTTGCCTTGAAAATAACTTGATATTTTCAAAGAACATTAAATTTCGTTTGTCCGTACAAACTATCTTGAAGTACTATAATCTAATCCTTGTCATACAGTCAGCGCTTGCTCCAGTTTTAAGCTTTAGTGACACCGGGCGCGCAAAGCACTGAATTAAATTAACGGTGCAAAATAGGGATGCTTAGGTGGCGCTAGGTGCGACTGTTTTGGTTATGGATTAGATTAGAAAAACACACGTTACAAGAAATTCCCATCAAATACACAATTTTCTCGTGCAAAGAAGGAAATTGTCCAGTTCGGTGATCGGCTTAATTTGGCGATATATACATTTACGTAAAAATGGCGATATATACATTTACGTAAAAATGGCGATATATACATTTACGTAAAAATGGCGATATATACATTTACGTAAAAATGGCGAATTACTTCCAAAACTACAGTGTATCTTCAAAAGACCAAAAATTTTGGACTTGAAAGCGTTTTAAAAAAGTTGACGGTTTTTCTATTTTTGGCTATTTGCATCGTTTCAAAGGTATGTAAACTTTATTGTTTATACAGGGTCCCCAGGGCGCGGAACTTCGGCTAAAATCCCTGGTGGTTTTTTCCTGTTCAGTATTCTCCAACTTCGTCTGCCTTTGTGTTCGGTTTTGGTTAATACCGCTCAGGTTTTTCCATTAGGGATTTTTTATTTCGGTTAAGTCTTCAAAAAAAAACAGTGACCTTGGTGTGGGACTAAACTTGTGCTACATATCATGTACAACCATGAAACTAAAAGAAATATTTTTTGAAAGTTATGAATGTTTAGATGAACGAACCTAAGGTCTTCTGTCAAATAAATTTACGGGTGCCTTCGCTTTCGTTAAACAATCAGAGTCATGTCAAAGCAATTCTGCTTTTTATAACAGTTTGAGTGATTTTGGTTGAAATATCTTGCATGTTTATTTACAGATTTTCTACAAATTTACAGATTTTTCTACAAATATCAAACTTTGGAACTATAAAATATTCCAAAATATGTTCAATAGCCAAAAACAGCCCAATTTGGGTATCTTTAAAACTGCGGTACGATTTAGTCTTTGGGTTCGATTCCCAATACACTGTTATTATTATATATAATAATTAGCAATTTCCCATTTTCATAAATACAAGAGATTGATTGGTTTTTATGGAAGTAAATAATATTTTTATTCTTTGCTATGTCAAAGAGCTAAACATCTAATTATGTACACTAGTGTAATATATGAAATAATTTTATTTTAAAGATGTAATTTTCTTGACAAATACGCGAGATCCGCTTGGAACACTAATATTTTCGACATTCATTTGCTCAGAAGTTGTTAAGAACTGGGAAAATTTGTATTCTTTGCAAATGTCTCATGAATTTCTTTCTTTATAAATATGCTGAAAGTATCTCATGGACGTAGCCTTAGTATATGAAGTGAATTACAATCTATATATATTTTTTTGTAAATATGACATATAACTATAAAGGTATGCTTCATTAAATTTTTGGTTTTAAAAGAATCTACAGAATTGTATTAATGACTCGCCTTATTTATGATTATGAGCAAAGGTATCTATTTAAAGTCCACCTTTAAATAGATACATTCCAGGTTTAGTGCTTCATCTATCTTCTAATAGGTTGTAATGTACGACATGTGACGTAAATATTGGTTTGGAAAACTTATGTATATCAATGTACTCTTTTATGTAAGTGCTTCCACAAGAAATATCTCCGGCAAATTCTTGTCTTCACCTTTGTCGCGTTTCTTTGGTGTCGTGGTGTTAGTGTTCGTTCTAAGTATCCAATGTGAACTGCAAATTTTCATGTTTCAACATGAGCAATGTGAAAAATATATCAAATATCATCAGACAATATAAATTACATAATGTCAGATATTATGAAAGTCATTCTTTGTTGATTTCTTATTAAATTCAGCAAATCTGTACGTACAAAGCTGATAGCTTTGTCTCATAAGGTCTTTCATATTCATATTGTTATAGTTGTCAACAAAATTGACCGGTTTGCTTTGGTGCGTCGAAACAGATTTGGAAATTTTAAACTCTGCTAATTTGAGATTGTTTTTAAAAATATTACTTAATTGAATAGCAAATTACCGAGTATTGATTACAATTGTGATTGACTACCTTTAAAACCAAACCCTGTTGTGATTAGCAACACTGTCTGCGTTATGTCTTGAACATTTTGAATAGGGCGCACTTTATATTGGAATAGGTGTTGTCACTGTTATGGTTAACAATAAGGCTATCAAATAAAGAGTAGAGTTATTAAATAGTTAGATTTTTGGTTGTGCTAGTGTTAGTGTTAGCATTAGTCTTGCTGCATAGTGTTATAACACTAGTCGTGTTGAATTTGATGTGATAAATTATTGATATAGTCTTATTCTTAGTGTTTGTCTTTGTGCTAGTGTTAGTCTTAAAAGAGTGTTGGTCTTGGTGCTTGTTTTAGTGTTAGTGTGATGTTGTTAGTGCTAGTGATGGTGTTAGTCTTTTAGTGATTTTATTTAGTCTTTGTGAGAGTGTTAGTTATTTTGTAATAATGATGGAAATAGATTTAGTGCTTTTAATCTTACACTCTTTTGCATGAAAATGCCTGAACTATAGTGTGAATCAAAAATTTAAGAAGACGTTTTTTAATAAAATTTACACAATTTTGTTACGATTTAGGCTTGTTTCATTCTGCTTATATTTTGCACGTTGTACCAGTCAACCAGATAATACTGAATGCCAAAGTTTGTCGTTTTGGAAATCTTTGTCTGAACTGATTGCGTGTTTTTTGTAAGCTACCAGTTTCAAAAAACATTTTCACGAGAAATGTGTCTGCGAATTCTGCTATGTTTATTTGAAACCATCGTGTTTGTAAAGCATACGATATAATAAGAAGTTGAATATGCATTTAGGGTGAAGGGTCATTAGCATTTAAGAGCGTTGTGGGACTAAATTTAAAAGCAAAAAAGTGCTATTCCCATCGACGGAAAATTGCGATTTTTATTAACATTATTTGTCGAGGAAATACCTCTTCACTTTCCAACTAAAAGATTCTTACAACAAGTCATTTTATACAATTCACGTATTTTCACAAATTTTAACTTTTTTTCATACAAAGATTATAATTCATGAATTTTCAAAAATTTTTACATTTTTTCATACAAAAACTATAATTCACGTATGTTCACAAATTTTAACTTTCATACATTTACACGCATTTTCATGAAAAAGGCTAAAGTTAATGATTCTCACACATTTTCATGCCAAAGACAATGATTTAAAGTCATTGAAAGTTCATGAATTTTTACGCATATTTATGCCAAAGACTATAGTTCATGATTTTCAAACATTTTCATGCAAAGGACTATAGATCATGCATTTTCACGAATATTCATGCCAAAGACTACAGTTCATGATTTTCACACATATTCATGCCAAACACTATGGTTCATAAATTTTCACACATTTTCATGCCAAAGACTATAGTTCATGATTTTCATCAATTTTCATGACAAAGACTATAGTTCATGATTTTCACAATTTTCATGACAAAGACTATAGTTCATGATTTTCATCAATTTTCATGACAAAGTTTATAGTTCATGATTTTCACACATATTTATGACAAAGACTATAGTTCATGATTTTCACACATATTTATGACAAAGACTATAGTTCATGATTTTCATCAATTTTCATGACAAAGACTATAGTTCATGATTTTCACACATTTTCATGACAAAGACTATAGTTCACGATTATTCATGCCAAAGACTATAGTTCATGCATTTTCACAGATTTTCATGCCAAAGACTATAGTTCATGAATTTCACACATTTACATGACAAAGACTATAGTTCATGATTTTCACATTTTTTCATGCCAAAGACTACAGATCATGATTTTCACACATATTCATGACAAAGACTATAGTTCATGATTTTCACACATATTCATGACAAAGACTATAGATCATGATTTTCACACATATTCATGACAAAGACTATAGTTCATGATTTTCACATTTTTTCATGCCAAAGACTATAGTTCATGATTTTCACACATTTACATGACAAAGACTATAGTTCATGATTCTCACATTTTTTCATGCCAAAGACTATAGTTCATGAATTTCACACATTTACATGACAAAGACTATAGTTCATGATTTTCACATTTTTCATGCCAAAGACTACAGATCATGATTTTCACATATTCATGACAAAGACTATAGTTCATGATTTTCACATTTTTTCATGCCAAAGACTATAGTTCATGATTTTCACACATTTTCATGCCAAAGACTATAGTTCATGATTTTCACATTTTTTCATGCCAAAGACTATAGTTCATGAATTTACACATTTTCATGACAAAGACTATAGTTCATGAACATTTTTCATGCCAAAGACTACAGATCATGATTTTCACACATATTCATGACAAAGACTATAGTTCATGATTTTCACATTTTTTCATGCCAAAGACTATAGTTCATGATTTTCGCAGATTTACATGACAAAGACTATAGTGCATGATTTTCACATTTTTTCATGCCAAAGACTACAAATCATGATTTTCGCACATTTTCATGACAAAGACTATAGTTCATGATTTTCACATTTTTCCATGCCAAAAACTATAGTTTATGATTTTCACACACTTTCATATCAAAGACTATAGTTCATGATTTTCACACATTTTCATGCCAAAGACTATAGTTGATGAGTTTCACACATTTTCATAATAAAGACTATAGTTTACGATTTTCACCAATTTTCATGCCAAAGACTATACTTCATGATTTTCATATTTTTTCATGCCAAACACTATAGTTCATGATTTTCACACA